GGAGGGTCTCGATCGTGACCCCTGGGGTCGCCCTTATCGCGCGGTGCGACAAAAGCTCCGCGCGTCGGGCCCGACCCCTTACGGAGACTCTCCAGCCCAGCTTCCTGCGAGAAGTGGTTGAGGGCCTTTTCCCGCAACGAGCGGAACACACTCCCCCGGCGATGGCCTCCTTGGCCGGAGACGACGGGGAGCACGGGAAGGATAATGTTCCGCCCGTCCGGGATTCGGAGGTAGGGGCGGCTGTTCTACGGATCCGTTCCAAGAACACGGCCCCTGGGCCAGACAGGGTACCGGCCCGAGTGCTGGCCCTAGCCCTCAACCACATGGCAGACCGCCTCGGGGAGGTGTTCGACGCTAGCTTGGCGTCGGGACGCTTCCCTGAGTGCTGGAAGAGCGGGAAGCTGGTCCTATTAAGGAAGCCTGCCGATTCGGTCGCGGCCTACAGGCCCATCGTGCTGCTGGACGAGGCGGGTAAATTGTTTGAGAGGGTTCTCTCTGCCCGCATCGTCCGGCACCTCTACGAGGTGGGCCCCGATCTGTCGGACGCCCAATTTGGTTTTCGGGCGGGGCGTTCGACAGTCGACGCTGTGTTGCGCCTGAGGGCCGTGACCGAAGAGGCCGTGAGCTGTGGCGGCGTGCTGTTGGCGGTGTCACTGGACATCGCCAACGCATTCAATAGTCTGCCATTCAGCTGCATCAGGGAAGCACTCCACTATCATGGGGTGCCAAAGTACCTGAGGCGGCTAGTGGCAGACTATTTAGAGGAGCGTACCGTCGTGTACTAGGACCGAGAGGGTAATTTGAGGTTTCGGCCCATGTCGTGCGGTGTTCCACAGGGGTCTGTTCTTGGACCCCTCTTGTGGAACATAGGGTACGACTGGGCCCTTCGCGCCGATTTCCCCCCCCCCGGGCTGGGTGTAATCTGTTACGCAGATGATACCCTGGTGACAGCCCGGGGGGCAAACTTCCAAGAGGCGGCGCGCCTGGCCACAACGGGAGTCTCCCTGGTGGTCGGGCGCATTGAGGCGCTGGGCTTACGGGTGGCCCTAGATAAGACGGAGGCCCTGTTATTTCATGGGCGCCGTCGTGGTCCACCCCCTGGCGCCTCAATCGTGGTCAACTCGGTCCTCGTACCGGTTCGGGCCCAGATGAAATATCTGGGCCTGATCCTCGACGGGAGGTGGCTCTTCGACGAGCACTTCCGACAGCTTGCTCCAAAGCTGGTCGACGCTGCGTCTGCCCTAGGGCGACTTTTGCCCAATTTGGGTGGACCCAGCGTCGCGACAAGACGGCTGTACACGGGGGTTGTCCGGTCAATGGCACTATACGGTGCACCGGTGTGGGCGGCGGCTCTGACCGCCCAGAATAGGGCACGCCTCTGGCGCCCTCAGAGGGTAATGGCGGTCAGAGCCATACGCGGTTACCGCACCGTGTCGACGGAGGAGGCGTGCGCGTTGGCCGGAACTCCCCCGTGGGATTTGGAGGCGGAAGTGCTCGCCGAAGTTTATCGGCGAGTGGCTGACTCCCGGGCGGAGAGCGGATTTCGCCCTCCGCCCGAGGATGTGCGCGAGTGGCGCGAAGCCGCTCGCCGAGCCACGATGGCTCGTTGGTCGTTCCGGCTGGAGACTCCACGCGCTGGCTTCGCCGCCGCTGGCTCGGTCGCTAGGAGGAACTGAGTCCCGCCTGCCACCACTGCGACTGCAGTGAGGACTCGGCTCAGCACACGCTGGCGGTCTGCCCCGCATGGGCGACGCAGCGCAGGGCCCTCACTGCAGTCATCGGAGTGGATCTCTCGCTACCGGCCGTAGTACGCTCCATGGCCGGTAGCGACAGTTGTTTTACCGCGGTCGCAACCTTCTGCGAGGAAGTAATCTCGCAGAAGGAGGCGGCGGAGAAGGCCCGGGAGGACGACCTCCACTCGGACCCGATCCGCCTTCGGCGAACCGGGCGGCGGAGGCGCGCCTATCACCGCCTCATGCCGCCCTGAGTGTGGCCGCGGGTGGACGGAGTGGGTTTCCCCTGCACCCGCATTAGTTTGGCCAGCCGCGAGGGGGCGGCGTCCGCGTGTGCCGGACGTCGCCTAAAGAGAGGAAAATATTGAGACTGAGCCCGCACCAGGAGCGGGCTGGCGCTAGGAGGGGTCCGGATGTCTTAACAACAGCTGTTCCCGGATCCCTCCTGTTACAAGCGCAGAGTGGCACACCGTGTGGTTTTAGTCGGTCCGAGTCCGACACACCACCCCGCCGCAAACCCCGGTGGGGTGACGGTCCGAGGGGATTTCCACACGTTAAAAAAAAAAAAAGGGTTTGTGTCAAGTTTTCCTTTTCTCTGCAGTGTTGTTGTCCTGAGTAGTTTGCTTCTTTAGTCGGCTCTTACGACACCCATGGAATTAATAAAGGTGGTGACAGTCCGTATTCTTAATCCGTTACCACACGGACAATATTAAGGGCAATAATTAATAATATGTAAAAAATATAAGTCAAATTTCAATAAGATTTTAGTCAAAGTTTTTATTGCGTTCATGTGTACATAAGGTGTTAATTACAATTTTGTTTCTAAAGACATGAAACCCTGTTAGCGCACAGCAATTTTGTTGGCATTAGGCGTTATCATGTATGCCATTAAATTAAAATATTTATACACTAAATTAAATTACCAATTACATATATTATTATGTTACAATGAAGAATAACGTAACACTAATTATATTTTACATATTTCCTATAAATGCAATATACAAATTTAGTTCTATATAATATTAGTTTTGCAAAAAAAAGAAAATTCAATATCACAAACAACAGTATTTATTATTTATTTTATTGGAACAACAGGCAAAAAAGAATGGAGATTAATTATTTGAACGATTCTGTATAATTGCGATGGGTATTTTTACCATTTTGTAGCTGAAGTGGCTCCTTTCCAGCACCTTAAGTATTTTTGGCTTGGTAGCACTTTATTGAAGTGTCTTTAGAAATCTATGTCCAGCAGTGGACTAGTAAAGACTGTTGATGATGATGATGATCATGACGTACCGAGAGTAACGCTGAAATATCTCGGTTGGCATTTTTTTGAGAAAACCCGCCTTTTCCTGGCCTAAGTGTACTAAAAGTCTTTTCGATTCTGGTTCTTACTGAATTAATTCAATGTGACCTGACTATTACTACTTTTATATACTTACCTTTTTTTAGTTAAGTTATCAGCGGTCCCTTTGAGTGTTATATACGATCAAATGGGACCCGCACTGAGCATCGTTGAACCATGGTGTGTAACACACAACTTGATAGTAACCCGTCAGAATGGAGATGATCATGTTAACAAACAAACGCAGTCTAGGAAATCTCAAGACAGAGCAAAAAACCACGCCAAAGTCGATCAAAAGTCAAAGTCATGTTGACTGTTTTCTTTGACAAACGGTGTTGTGCACTCGGAATTCTTGACTGAAGGTCAAACGGTAAATAAAGAATATTATTTGAGCGTTATGCGGCTTTAAGAGAGTAAATTCGACGAAAAAGGCCAGATTTGTGAAAAGAAAATTCTTGGATTTTGCACCTCGATAATGCGCCTTCGCACAAGGCCATCATTGTAAACGAATTTTTGACCAAACACAACAAATACCATCGAGCAACCACCATATTCACCAGATATGGCTCCAGCCGACTTCTTTTTCCTAAACTCAAATGACCACTTCGTGGCACCCGTTTTCAATCGGGAGAAGACATTAAGGAGAATTCGCGGCGAGAGCTGAACTCAATTCCGGAAACAGCGTTTAAAACATGTTTTGATGATTGGATTATTCGTTGGCGTAAGTGTATCCTTTCTAAAGAAGCATACTTTGAAGGAGATAAAATAAATTTGGGTGAATAACAAACATTTTGTGTATTATTGATCTTTTTCCGGTACTTTCTTGACAGAGTAGTATATTCTGTCGCCGAGGACTTTACTAACATAACGGAACACGTAAGGGATACAAAAAAAAAACACCCAGACCCAGAACAACATTTTTTGGATTACACAAAGTGTTGTGTCATGTGGGGATCGAACCCACAACCCTCAGCGCAGTAGAACGCGGTTGCGATCGCTTAAACCACTACGCCACCTGGGCCGTCAGATCAAATCAATTAAACTAAAAAACTTTTTTTTCATAAGAGTGTGGTCAAATGATGACTTTATCCTAAGATCAGGATCACTAACCATTAGGTCAAGAGGCCCGTCAATGTATTATTATTATATTATATTACAGTAAAAAATATAGCTCAGATGATGTTATATCAATAAACCTTAATACCATCACCTTTGTTGCAGTTTTCATGAACCTCTAAAGTATACAAAAGCAAAAAAAAAAATGACAAAAGTGCTGGTTGACGTTAGGAAGGATGAAAAGTAAACTTTAAAATAAATACGATTATTTTATTACAAATTCTAAAATAAATACAACCCAAGAATATTTAATCAACAACCTTTATCAGTATAATGTATTTGAAACTACTTTTGCTTATTTACATAAACATTAAATATACAATTATGATAGTCTTTATGCAATGTGTTTTCTGGAATGATTATAACAAGAAACATAATCTTATATATAATGGAGTTACTGCAAGTTAAAACAAAACTGGTGCAATCTATAATTAATAATAAAAATAAAAAAACATTTTCTATCAACATGCTTGTTCTATCAATAAGCAATAGGAGTTTGATAGCTTGCTGATTTGGATAATATTGCATTATCAGGTTAAGGTTAGAATTGTAATATCATTGAGGTCACAGGATCCTAAATCTATCAGAGATTAATTAATAATATTGATTATATTCGAACTATTTACTGCATTTTTTTAAGGTTGACAAAACACATAATAAATCTACTTTTTAAACGAAAAACGGCTTCTAAACGGAACTGGTGTTTTAAAATTTAAGTAGCTGCGTTTCTAAACTCAAACTCCGTCAAGAAAAAGTTTACACAATAAGCTGAAACACAGATCTCATGTTGCATATGTTTTATTTTACACCTTGGGTTCGAAACCATTATGACCTCCTTTATTTCCTTGCTTTGTAAAGTACTTTAACACTACATATGGATTTTTTACCTTTTGTCTTTCTATATCTTTAATTATGTTAGATATTCTATTAGACCAATTTAGACAGGTTTGCTGATTAATTTTTTCAAGTAAATTGTGTTCAGGACACCAAAAATTTTTAATTGTAGCTACAGCTAAAGAGTTTCTCAATTTTCCTAGCATATAAAGAACTAAGTATGCTAGTGATTTTTCTTTCCAAAAGTCTTCATCGTTTTCTACTATTACCCACAGAAATAATGTTTTTATAAAATAGCTAGCTAGTTTTTCAAAACCTTGAATATCACGGAACAATTTTATGAGTTTTAACGCACTTTTACAATTATTCCTCGTCTTCATATAGAACCGTTCTTGGTAAGGGAATGCCAGTCTCCAACTAAATTCGTCATCATTTGGTTTAGGAACAGCAAAGTAATATGAAACATTTGTGTTCTCTACTTTTTTGAAATCAATTTTTGAGGAAGTTGGTTTTTTTGGCAACTCGAATTGTAAAGTTGGCACTAAATCAACGTCAATCACGTAGTCGTCATCAATATAAATTGTAATGGTATTCGCAGGACCTGATATTTTGTAGAGTATTTTATATGTCTCGCCCTTTAATTGCAATATTCTTTTACCGTCATGCACTGGTAGTTTATTCAATGTAACATCAACAACGCTCTGAGCCCACGAACGGAAACTTGTAACAGATAGACGAAAAGATGGATCGCACCAAAATTCGGTTTTTTTAAAACCTTTCATGGCAGTGGCAGGCATTTTGGACAATCTACGAAACTCCTCGGGCATTCTTATACTTACGTAGGCATTCTTTTGAGACTCTAAGATTATTTTATTATAATCTAAATGTAGTGTAAGTATAACGTTAAGGTCGTATTCAGTTGGTTGGCCTACTCGCAATCCGTCAAAGTAGCTGCCCAAATACTCTAACTTCGGTTTCATGCTGTCAAATAAGCTGTCACATTTTCGCATCTGCTTCAAAAGCTCTTTAAGTACTGTGTACAGTACGAGATTATTGTTTTTTTTCTCGAGGTTTTTTATCCGCACATGTCTTTTATTTATCTCTTGTAAGATAACTTCTAATGTTTTTGTTTTTTTACCCTTCGGGGCGGTATTCACCATGTTGCTGAAACAAAAAACTTATATTGAGTATTTTATGTCCTTGATGGTTATTGTTTATTCTATCAAAGTGTCCATAAAATTTAACGTTAAATATCTTGAAGGTGACATCTCGAAGTTTAGCATTAGTCATTTGTAATCTTTCCTACTTTTATAATACCTAATTTATTTTTAAACATGTTGGTTAGGCTTTTAAAAACTTGTTTTCGTAAGGAATACGCTTAAAGCACTTGGTGAGCAGGAACGAGCCAACGAAGCGAAGTTTAATTTTTTTTGGAATGTAATAACTAGGAGAATAGTTTACACAGTATTTGTTACATCATGATAACTTATTCTCAATAATACATTTATTTACTTTTCTCCCATATACAGGGCAATATTAAATTTACAATACACATACTCTGTTGATAAAAGCTGAAGATGCCAGTATGATATCTGAGCAAGAGCAGATATTAAAAAAGCTAGAAAGCAAAATAATTAAAAGTAGAGTGGCGGTAGTCGCTTTCCATCAGGTGACGCGGCTCCTCGCTCTTCCATTAAAAAAAGTTAATTTCAAAAATATATGTATACTAAAAAACGCGATAAAATTTTAATAGGTAATTAATAAATTATTATTAATTTATAATTAAACAAGTTGTAAACAGGAGGACTTAATGAGCAGAGCATTCTCGCTCAGTCGACCTTCGGGTGATGTATAAATGTGGTGCGGTAGGTCCAAAGATGAAATAGAAAATATTTAATAGTATTATACTATTTGATTTTATTTATAATAAATTTATAAATCAAAGATAATAAATAATACAACTTAGGTTTACCATGCATAAATAAATTACTGTATTCATTACTAATTTGTTTATAGAGGTCCACAAGTATACACATACAATACATAAAAAAAACATATACAATTTAAATATTAAAATACACAGTCGGGTACGGTTATTCTGTCCTCATTTTGATCATATACCTAAAGAAACTACAGAGACATGGCAAAAACAGTGCAAGGACTATCGGTCGACAACGAGATAAAATCAGCTGTAAACAAAAGCAATAAGAGGAATCTAAAAATCCAGTGGCATAAAGACTACAAACATTAAACATACACTTATAAAACAACTATTTAGACGTCGTTTTCCGTATTTATATGTAAGTAAGGTACTTTATAAGACTTTACAATGTATCGTTCCATAGTGCCGATTTGTATAAATAGGATCATATTGTTGTAATATCAAACGCGATATAATACTTGACCTAAAGTCAAAGTAAAAAACGACATAAACTACACACACTGAGTCAAGCTCATACAAACACACGCACACGCTAACACACACACAGATAACTAAAATGATTAAACTTGGTCAATTAAATAAATATTCGAAAGTAAAATAAAGTGTGGTTATCATTGTTAAACAAATAATGTAAATCTAGACTTCAAATAAATTATTATTATTTAAAAACTAACCTGAAAATAATTTGTAATGATGGTTTCTTCTTGAAAAAGCTAATATTGTCGAAATAGTTTAATATTTATTATTCGCACGTCCGTTTATTGTAGTTTTCAAAACTGAAGTGCGTTAAGCGTTTGTGCCAACATGAATAGTCAAAGTTTTATGTTCGTGGGAAGTCCCGCAATAGACTGCTCAGTGTATCTGTTAAAATTATTTTCTGTGACATTGTTAGAAAATAGCATGAAGATAAGATAAGAATAAAAATTGTTTTCGCCTTTGTGCAGTTATTGTCCTCATATTTTTTTATTTATACTGCTAAAGAAGCAAACAAGTAGGAGCGGCGCTTAGTTTTTTTTTATGAAAGTGGGAGCAAACGAGCAGACGGAACACCTGATGGAAAGCGACTACGGCCACCCTGAACGACCGCAACTCAGGCATCAAGCGCGTTGCCGGTCTTTAAGAATGCAGTAAGCTTTTTTCTTGAAGGTTTGAAGGTCGGATCGATCCAGAAATACTACAGACGATAACTTGTTCTACAGGTTGGTTGTGCGAGGCACAAAGTGTACACATGCGGACGGATTTGCGCCTTATAGAGTTAAGGCGGTTGGCAGAATAAAATTCTGCCTCGATCCAGGGCCGCCGCTAGCTGTTTGAGCGCCTGCGTGCACTGCCGATGAAGCCACGCTTTTTTTTTTGCCGAAATCACCCTTCGGATATCCTTTTCGGATATCGGATACCGTTATGAATTTTATTTTATATCAAGTTCATTTTGTCCTTATTTCAAAGAATTTGAAATCATATTACTTTATTTGGATACAATTATACCGCGGCACGTCGTGGCACGACGCAGCATCTCGTGTCATGCGGTTTGAATCTACAGATTACCATGCCACCGCGTCCCGCGAACACTATAGGTCACAGGATTTGACCCTCCCCCTCTCTCGGTGTCAAAGGTAGGAGCTTTTGGGCCCCGGTAAGGACTCGCACGACGAAAAGCAACAAAAGATTTCTTTAACAACGGTTTTCTGTGAAGCCGAGGTATCATTCCGGTCGAGCATGGCTCTCCCACGAAAGAATGTTTTTTCTTCAACTTATCAGTCCGTATTTGTCTTTCTTCATCTTCAGCCAGAACTGCTATTAATACTAAATCCCATCATAACGACATAACCAACCAAAGGACAAACTGCCGTGCCGTGCCTCGCCGCGATGTCAGTCAGTGCCGGCTTTAAAACCGGACGTCGCGGCGTCTTGTGTGTAGGAACCAGGTGTAACCTAGAAAGGAAATCTCTAATACCCCGATTCATCTAGGGCTTACAGATGGCCCCCTTGTGTGAGGTGTTTCCCGTCCCTGCCTCTGGAGGCACTCCGGAGCGCGTCGCGTCGTCACCTGTCACCCCCAGACCTGCCCCGTTCCCGGGCCTAGCGAACCGGGACAGCGGAAGAGGAGCGGGAACGTAAACTATGGCCCGGTATGGGATATTTGGGAATCCCGCGCCCACGCCTTGTGTGATGCAAATTATACATCCTTACATTTAGTATAGTAATTCGAAGCTTATAAACGTTTGCATTCATTTTCGTACACCGATCAATAGATGTTACTATTATGAGTTATGACATAATGAAGATAATGTTAGACATGCAAATAATGAGAATGTTTCGTTTTCGTTTCGATCTCTTTTTTGCCGACCCTTTGAAAATGCCGCCCGTGTGTGAAGCACGCTCTGCACACCCGTACTCAGCGGCCCTTTTTTTCCCAAGACCAACAAATCCCCCCGGACCGTCACCCCGCCGGGGTTCTCTGTTCGGCGGGGCGGTGTGGCCCGCTCCTGGTGCGGGCTCCGTCTCAAATTATCCTCTCTTTAGGCGACGTCCGCCACACGCGGACGCCGCCTCCTCGCGGCTGGCCAAACTAATGCGGGTGGAGGGGAAAATCCATCCCGTCTACCCGCGGCCCTCCTTCTGCGAGATTACTTCCTCGCAGAAGGTTGCGACCGCGGTAAAATAACTGTCGCTACCGACCATGGAGCGTACTACGGCCGGTAGCGAGAGATCCACTCCGATGACTGCAGTGAGTCGCCCATGCGACCCGAATACTTTGATTTTAATTCTCCGAGTCAGTTTTCGTGACTGCCACACGGGTCGGAGTTGTGCGGCGGCAGCTCGAGCCTTGGCAATGCCTGAGGTGATGTCTTCCTCTGTACTCCCTGTTACCGACACGATGCTTCCGAGGTAGGTGAAAGAGGGCGGTATCACGATACCGCCCTCTTAACGCAAGTTTCAAATTTGGACTGCATATCGCGGTGCGTGTGACTCAGCAGGCAGATATCATCGGCGGAGTCCAAGTCTTGTAGGTCATCGGTTATACCCCATTCTATCCCACGTCGCTTGCTCTGATGGGCGCGATGAATAATCCCGTCGAGGACAACTAGAAAGAGGAGGGTTGAAAGCAGGCAACCTTGTCGAACGCCCGCCCGAACGAGGTACATACCTCAATGTCTTCGGAGATGAGGCCATCGTGTGATACTCTACAGGAATATTACCTATAGATGGCTTTCAGTAAGTTGATGATCTTCGGTAGGACACCAATGTCGGAGAGTCGAGACCATATACTTGTCCACTTTAACGTGTCGAAGGCGGTTCGACGGCCCCCGATAGCTTGTGCAGGATAATCTTGCAGAAAACCTTCGACGGTTCCGAGAGCAAAGTGATACCTCTCCAATTACTGCATTGGCTAAGGCTAAATCCCCTTTTTTAAGCACGTTTATGAGCATCTCTTTGTTCCAGTCATCTGGAAGTTTTTCTTTCGTACAGATTCTCTTGATAAGGGGTGCCAAGACTTCGACGGCAGAGGAAAAGTCCGCATTCAGCATTTTCGCAGTAACGAGGTGCAGTCCTGGAGCTTTGCCAATTTTGAGACTGGATAGCCTTGGCCACTTCGTCGTGAGTTGGTGGATGGACGTTGATTTCCAGAAGCCTAGATGGAATGGAGGTGTGCTGCAGTGTATCAGGCGCGGTCGGTGTAGTGGAGCGGAAAACCTCTTTACTTTTAGTTTATTTTAGCAAGTATTTAAGATCATATTTTGTACAAAAAAAAACGGTCACAACCCACAACACAAACTCTGGACTTTCTGCATTAGACCCTTAAGACTAGTATGTTCTACATTTTATGACATATAATAATAATATCTAATAATAAGCATTTATTTATGGTTAAAATGTTACACAATTGTTACATTACCTATGATAGCCACACTAGGCGCAGCCTGTATCGTGGCTATCAATGAATACGATTAACTAACGCCTAGGACTTAAACTATCCCAAAAGAATTCACATTTAAATAACAAAAATAAATAGATAGCTGCATTTGAGTATGTGTGTGAGAGTGTGAGTGAATGAGTGTTTGTGAGAGTGTAAGTAAGTGTGTGCATATGTGTATTTATAGGTAAGGCTGGAGTATTGGTACAAATAAAAAGAGGACACCTGGTGCGACACGTCCAGCGATAGCTTTTAGGAGCTGTTGCGTGTCATGGTTATTTAAACTGTTGAGAACTCTTTTAACTATAAAAAGGGCTTCACGCGTAGAGCAGTTTCTAAGATCTCATTTTTTTGCTAATTTGTTATTTAAACAAGAAAACATATATTTCTGAAATCTCTTGGCGAATGTAGTCTTGCATTTTGTGACAGGGAGCTTGAAAACCCTCGTGTTTAAGATCATATTGTAATTAGGGGAGTTTAGGACCATCTTATGTGTGGTGGTAACTGCCTTTAGTATGTATAGTTGGCGTATGCTCAGTAGACCGGTAGAGTTCAACTGTTGGAAATTAAATAGGTTTCTTGAGCATAACTTTGATAATCGATCTCTGTGAACTCTCCAGTTGTATTAGATGTGATGTTGCTGCACCTCCCCAGACGCTTATACAATACGTTAGTATCGATTGGCAGAGCGAAATGTATAAGGTTTTAAGAATCTCGATATTAGCAACGTCACGAAGTTCTTTAATCACGAAAGTGAGCTTTCTGCATCTCGCTGAGAGGGCAGCTATATGTTCATTGAAAGTTAGCTTCTCGTCAATGATTATTCCAAGGTATTTAAGAGATTTATTTCTTAACACTTCACTACAGTCACAGCCGGTGTTTAAATTCTGTGTGTCTTAGTCACACGAGTGAATCTTAAGGATTGGACTGCATACAGGAGATGAAGCACTAGTTTTAGGAAACAAAGAAACTTTGATTTACTGTTATTTAACATTAACAGGTTGTTATTAGGCCATTCCGCTACTAGAGCCATATCCTGCTCTGCTTTCAAGACACATTTACTCCATGATGAGTCATTGAAGATTAATTCAGTGTCATCTGCATAACAGACTACCTTGGCATTGGTTAGAGGTAAAGAAGTCAACTCATTCAGGTACAGTAGAAATAGCGTCGGTCCTAACACACTTCCTTGAGGAATTCCGAAATCAGTTGCTACAGACTGCTAAACAAGGAATCCACCTTAACTTGTTGTCTTCTCCCAGTCAAATAACTTCGAAACCAGACCAGTGCCACACCTCGTATTCCAATACCTTCTCAATAATATTGGAATGGCCACAGTATCAAAGGCTTTAGTTATGTCAAGAAAGACCCCAATACATGCACGCCCATTATCAGGGTGAGATACAATTTCTTCAGTAAGTAGCAACACTGCATCTTCAGTGGATTTTCCCTTACGGAAACCAAACTGATTGTTGGCAAGTATATTAGTTACTTCCAGATATTTCACAAGCCGTCTATTTACAATCCTTTCTAAGATCTTTGAAAATATCGGTAGGAGAGATATAGGCCGGTAATTGCTCGGCAAGTTGGTTTTACCTCCTTTATGGATTGGTACTATGGCTGCGGTCTTCCAGTCCTGTGGCACGATCCCTGTTGAGAGACTCTGGTTTATTATAGACTTTAAGGGTTCTATAATATGATCCTTGGCCATTTTTATAAACAAGCCATATATACCAACCAGACCTGTTGAACTGTCGTGTTTAAGCGTCAGTATGATGTTTTCTATTTCTTTATTGTCAGTTGGTTCAAAAAAGAAAGAATTACAGGGTGACTTGTAGATGTCGATCTTATTCGCCAATTCAAATTGTTTCAAACCAAGACGCTGAAGTATTCTAGCGGCATATTGCTTTCCAACAGAAGCGAAAAACTCGTTGCAACGATCAAGTGCAGTTTGAGGGTAAGAGTTTCTGACAAGGAGGTCAGATGCTTTGGAGCTTGAACCGTTTTTTCTGTGAGTTATACCGTTTTTTCTATGAGTGAGGTGGTTTTTGTATTTTTGCAGCAAACTTGCAAACAGCAAACCCTACACCACATAAATAGGCATTTTTTATTTTACGCAGAAGACTGATGTAAAAATTTCGATATCTAGTGTAAACTATTGATTTTATATCGCTATCAGGACTCCTTCTAACCTCCATATGAAGTTTGTCACGTACCAATATTATAATACCAATACAATACCAAAACCAATATTAATTCCAAGAAACCAAGAAAGTTTTCAAAGTTACGACTGAGGCTCCGTATGTTTAGCGTTAAAATTTTCATTTTATATTTATCAATAATGCCACGGCAATCCTCAGCAGAATTTACAGGCTGGCATTTTATTGTGTACGCATTATCAATGCATTCAATTAGGTCAAGTGCAGTCATAGTAAATTTTTACTAAAAGAGTTTTTAATGAGCGTATAGTTGCGAGAAATGCCAATCTATAAAGTGAGGGAGTATGCTTATATGAAGTAATGTAATTATTATTATGTATTTTACATGTTAGTTTACCAAATATATGCCAAATTATTGAACTTATATATATGTATGTGCAGTATAGATGTAGGTGTACAAAGAGTAATGTTTCAGGTGTTTTATAATGTTTAATTAATGTAATTTGTGTATGAGTGGGTGCAGGCTTTATTAAAATGCAAAAATAGTGTGGATTATATAAGCAAGCTAACGAATGAATTATAAACAAAGGATTAATCATTATTCTCTGGAAAGGTTGTATTTGGCGGCATGATGTTTTTGTTGAGATCTTCAATTGCCGCTTGTCATTCCTCTTTTCTAATAAATACAGAGCCATTGCGCAGCCAGCAGTAACGAAAGGAACAAAGTTGGGCTCTCGACACGGTAATATTATAATACAGTACTGTAACTCGGCCGCATGATAGAAATAAATGCCTACAGCCGCGCGGTACGTAAACATGCGTTAGGGCTGCCCGTCTCCAGCATTTTAATTATATTTGTCTACTTTCTGTTTCTATTTAGATTTGTGATTGTAAATATCCTTTTTATATAAATAAATGAAATACTTTGTATATTGAATAGGAAGTGTTCAATAAAAATGCGTGTTGTTTTTTGATTGGTAGATTTAATTATTTTATTTTCTTTCTGCATTGGAGGAGTTCAAGTTGGTAGGGCATTCTTTTTTAAAAGTTTTCTATTTGATGAATGTAATACATCCTCCAAATTAAAATGTTTTCACAAACTTGGTAGGAACTAAAGTTAGGTTTGTTTTCCAAATCATCTCGCCGGATCAGACATTGAAGACGTCTGAAAAAAAATACATGTGGCACTCTCGGAGACTGCCGCGGTAAAGCTATTGCATAACATTTTTTTTTTTTAATAAGAAATTTGCGTGGTGACAGGTATTTTTCGTGAGGTTTTGAGAATTTCTTGATTCGGTCACCGCGCCGCGCCGCGGTCAGAGCCCGCGATAAAAGCTATGCAATAGCTTAAAAATCCTACTATAGAATAAAAAAATGTGCTTTCTCCTTACGCGTTACAAAACTCCAATCCTTAGAATCTCCAACACCTACCTACTCAATTAGAATGCAAGAAACAGCTGACGAGTAAGTAACTTTTTATCTCAGCTTATTAACGTCTCTATAAATTAGGTACCTACCTACAACACGCAACAACTCAAAACAAAAATTCTTTGGTCAAAAAATTAATTAATTATTAAAAAGCTGAACAGCTGACTACGAATGTTTTAAAATCACAACCCTCAAACATCTAAATATTATATATGACTCATATACACTCATAGCTGTTGTTGTTATAGTAGCAGCAGAAACACTTTGTGAAAATTTCGAAAACTATCTAATGACACACAGACGGTAAAAAAAATTTTCTAGTATTATTTATACACACAGATAATAAACAAATATTATTAATAATAAAATACCACGTCTTTACTTTGAATTATGCAAACACACATGCACCGAAGTTTAAACACAAGCATAAGTAGGTAGGTACCTACCGTATCATGATTCATTCAGAACCGCATATAACTACCTATTTCACTCGTCTCAATAACTTTCCGTTACTCTATTCGCTTTATTTATTAATCCAAACACCTTTTTTTCGTGAGATAAAAGGAAATACTTATCCATTAAAAAGACACACATGTACGTACCTACTTACTAGTAAGTAAAATTATTTTATAGTCTTACCTTTCAGAGTTTCTAGGTAATTTAAAAAAACTTATGTCTGGATGCGTTATTGACGAATTCATACATCCAAGAACAGCACAATATTTCCTACTCGTCATATTAACTGATTTTTAGAGAAAAAATTGCGCGGTTATTGTTAAAAAAACAACACACCGTCCGTTCAACACTGCGGCACAGCCGTGACTGCCTGCGCCCCGAGCGCACCCCGAGATCGAGGCGCGTAGGTATAGCTCGCATTTCGTCCGTTTGTATGAAGTTGGAGTACTGTATTATAATAGTACCGTGCTCTCGATCTAGCCTCGCGAAATAACAGCCTTTTCTCCTTTGTAATACGTTCGTTGACGTATACGAGTACTTTAGACGACGTATCGTTAACAATGTTTCCGGATGTTAAATTTCTCCTAGATTTTGCAGCAGTAATAAGTTCGTCTCTCTTAGTTTTTCGAGTTAACCGTACTATAATGGGCTTAGGACCTGGTCGAATAATATCAATAATATCGGATTCATTCAGTTCAACACTCATTTTCTGAGACAACGTAAGCATTATATGATTAAGATTTTCGCGGTATGTTTCAGGCATTCCACAAATTTCAATCTCATTTTTCAGCGAATTTTGTTCTAGTGTTAATAGACAATTTTAATTGTGATAAAGATAACTTCAGGTTATTTATTTCTTTGTCCTTAACATCAATTAATCTTTGTAAATCTGTTAAACGACTAGCCAGTTGTTCTTTTAGATCTTTTACGTCTTGTCTTAATAGAATAATATCGTTGTTACCCTGTTTCAGTTCCTTCACTTCCTGTCTTAACTCACGAATTTCATGCATTAAAGCAGAGAATGGGATATCTGATGTTACAGTAGACTTGTATTACCTTTTTTTGGTAGGGAACAAACACAAGTTGGGCATATCCACGATTGTTTATAACTTGCAGTGTACTGTAGTAACTTTTACATTTTGAACAGCTCATGTAATTGGTAGATTTAATGCCCTTACCACAAGCTTTACAATTGGACGGCATCTTATTTTGTTGTGACTACAAAATGTAATATAGATGACTCACTCGGGTCGCGACCCGATAGTAGTCGATGGTGCGGTAGAAGTTCGGGGCGCACAGCGCGCGGGTATCGCACGAATAGGGTAATAGAAGAATCTTGTTTTATTTTTGCACAAAAGTATTTTCTTTTATCTTTGCAATGTGTTAATGTTTCCTTATACGGCTATAGATACCAGTTAAAGCAAGAACTCAGTTTAGGAAGTATGGTATATTTTTGTAAAATTATGACTTTAGACTTGGTTTTAATATTATTAATGCGGAGTGAACTGACACAGTGACGTTCTAGGCAAGTACCGTACGACGAATGAGATATAAGAAACATAAATTGGTACGAGTATTATACATTGTGTTTTTACAATTATGTGATCATTTACAATTGTATCATATGTTTTAGAATCTCGAACAGCAATACAACTTTACCAGTATCTTATATATCAATATTAATAGGTTTTTTACCTTAAGATTTTGCTTTATCTTTTGCTTCATCAGATTCAAAAAGATTCTTAAAATTATCAATAGCTTCTTGTAATGATTTAAAATTTACTGCTTCTATATCATCCTGTGGCTCTTGTTTTTGATTCTGGAGAGAATGACCTGAAATTACATGTAAATATACATTCTGAGCTTCATTTGCCAAAGAGGTCAAGATGGGTTAATACTTACTATGGTTGAGCTTGTGTGAAAGAACAAATGATTTAAGTCATCATCATCATCATCATCATCAACAGCCTTTAACAGTCCACTGCTGGACATAGGCCTCTCCTTAGAAAGGAGGTTTTGGCCAACTATGATTTAAGTGTTACAACCTAAGTTTCATTTATTTTCAATATGTAGGTTTATGTATGTACGTAACTAAGTAAGTATTTATGTATGTGTATGTATTTCGTACACATGTATGTATGTACTTATCTCATTCTTTCTGTCTAACTTCTCATTAATTTTCTCTTACTTTACTTATCAATCTCTAGTGCACCTAGTCACACACTTCAGCACCACCCTAAAGTAGACTAGGAGAAAAATGCCTGTGACATTAAGTCCGCTATTGTACAACCCATACTTGTGCATAAAGTATTAAAATAAAATTAAAATAAGTGTAAAGATATTCATATTTCATATGTTACAATACATTTCATTCTAACATAAAAATCCTTCATATGTTAAGATACTGAAGGCATATCATTGAATTTTATGGCAAGCAACACTGTATGTTAAGATGAAAATATTATAGCATTTTCGTCGTGCGTAAACCGCTTCACAGTCAGTATTGAAACAGCTGCTAAAGAATTTTATTCATTCTAAGAGAAACGTGAGTCAAGCTTTATCAACTTCAGTCTTCATAGTCCACTTTCTAAATCAGCTTTTAACCAGCGTTATCATCATTCAACTTTTCTTAAGGCAACATATGGTTTCTGGAACACAGGTGAGAGGCAATCGATAGGCCAGCCGGTTACTCAGTGAATATTTGGCTATTGGCAATCGAGGTCAGCCAGATATTTTGTAACTGGTATATGGACAAACAGATCACCATTTCATCTCTAATTAATAAGTCCTAAAAGATCAGTGTAATATTTACGATTCACAGATATTTTTAATGTTACATTAGTTAACAATAAAAAATATTACCTTCTTTAGGTGTGATATAGGCATGTTCCATATTTAAATACTTTCGTGTCTTGCATACATACTTCAAGTTTTTTTCAGGCAGTTTGTCAAATAATGGATCGTCAGTTTTTGGCTCTGGATCCTCTTCAAAAAACATATAGGTACCTAACGCATTTTCATACTTTCCTAAAAAATATAATTTTGATTAATAATAAATAAATATAATGTTAATCATTCTGGTATGGCTGTTGAAGAACCATAACTTGTATGGACATCCACATCTGCAATAACCATTATGCAAACCACTTTTCCTTATACATTTGTTTATCCAAATTTTTGTATATCCAAATGGCTAACACAAAAATTTATAGTAAATCAAGTCTTTCCATTACTTCAATCTTTTAATCTTACTTATAACCTGGTGAACCTAAAATGCAGGCAGTGATCTATCTGAGTACCATTTATTTTTAAGTTGATACACTAATATGTGTATATTAACATTAAAATGAATACCACTCAGGTTAATTTCATTAAAAACTAGACCCCCGCCCCAGCTTCACACGGTTATAATGTAGATACTACTAATACGGTGTCAGTGTAAAGTAATTACTTATACTACTATTATGGTAAGACTATACTACAGGACATCTCTATAGACAATATTTATTGTCTGCTCCGCTCCTGCCGGCCGCTACCACCTGGAACGGACGAACGGCCCGACGACAGCCGCTCTGCCCCCGCATATTTAATCTCTAATATCTTCTAAGATATTCATTTTAATGATATGCTGTGAAGGGCAATTTTGATCTACATTAAATACACAAAGTATTTAACATATGTAATTGGATAAGAAATGATAATGTATTGTTTAAAATAGCTTAATAGCTCGTCATGATCCTTCAAAAAAGTGCGCGATGCTGTATGTCTACCTCCTAAGGATAAACCACAGTAACCATTGTTATCCCTAAATGTTACAAAAAAATAATGGGTTATTTACGAAGCTATTTTAAACAATATATATTTCTTTATGCCATTTCAATTAAGCCTGTAGTACCTACTAGTAGAACTCACGGTGCTATGGGAAACGAACATCCCTAAGGACCATGCTTTAAAAACAAACAAGAACTTTGACTTAACCAACGAAAAACAATTAATGGTTATGTTGTTGTGTTGTATGCCGTGGAAGTGGGTGCGACGGGTATACTAGCTAAATCTCTAAGCAAGTAAGCTCTTTTCTTGAACGAATATCCAAAGCAGCATTGCTAGGCTAGCATCAAATATGGTTAGGTAGAGTGGGTAACACAGCAGACAGTGGAAGTGAAAGCTGATGTGTCGCAAGGAGTACTCCTTATACCTGGGTTGCAAGTCCCAGGTGCTGTCGAAGTCATATGTGTTGCCACCACCTATCATGCTATAGACCTGGCACCCGCATGGTGAATCCATGGAACGCTAAGAAATTGGTATTATTCCTTATCCAGTTTCTTTTTTCGTCTACCCTCGCTTAAACAGTGCACTTGTGTTTTTTCAACTTCTTACGAAAATTGTTATTAAATATTAGTTTACTTAGTTGTACTGCGCAGAATTTGGTGTTATTACGAGAATCTAGCATCAAAACAATAGTGAAAGTGTTATCTCGCAATACCTTTCGCGAAGAACCACATTTCGAGTGTAGCCTTAAAATACCGTTGAATACTTGTTAACGAAAATGGCTGTATGTTTGAAATGTGAAAAAACTGTACCTAAGATTGATGATAAGAATCCGAAAATTAAGTGTTATGGTTGCGAAAGGCAAATATGCGTGAAGTGTAGTGGGTTGCTGGCGACGGAGTTAAGAGTGGTGGTGCTTCAGTCTCCTACTTTAAAATATTTGTGTCCTGATTGTGAATTGGGAGTACGTCAACTACCGGCATTAAGGAATATGGTTTCCCAACTTAAAATTGAAGTAGACACTCTCAAGTCCAAACCAAACCGAGGCGGTGACATAGAAACAATTCTTTCCGAATTGTCGGAAAGGAAGAGGCGCAGTGCTAATGTTATTCTGTTTGGTGTGGGTGAGTGCCAGCTTAAGACTGGAGATGATACCCGGGACAAAGAGGTATGTATTAATCATGATAAAACCCAAGCACAGCAGGTGCTGTCTAACATTTCGAAATCTGAAACGCCCATTGCTGTCATACGTCTGGGTAAGCGCAGACAAGGCACTTCACCCCGACCACTTAAGGTGATCTTCTCTAATAAAAAATCGGCAATAAATGTATTAAAAAATAATAAAAAATTACCCTCTAATGTTGTGGCGAAAAACGATCTGACACCGTACCAACGCGATTATTTGAGAAACCTACGTGAGAATCTGAATCGTCGAATTGAGGCTGGTGAAACGGACTTAACTATCAAGTATGTAAGCGGTAGTCCAACTATTGTGACCACAAAAAACCAATAACACCCAACAATCCCTTTGTTGAGTTTACATTCTTCTACACCAACTTGGCATCGTTAATGGCTAAAAGAGATTTGCTTATTATTGAGATAAATAAATTGAAACCTACATGTATAATTATAACAGAAACACACCTTAAACCAACTATCCCCAATAGCTTAGTCGATATTAAGGGTTATATGCTTTTTAGACATGACAGATTGAACGGAACCGGATGGGGGGGAGTGGCTATTTATGTTTCGTGCAAACTTTGTGGCTTGCCTATACAGGTAACTCTTCATCCGACATATAACCGACACGCGGCTGTTGAGGCTCTTTGGTTGAATTTAAAATATGGATGTTTCGAAGTCCTGGTGGCGGGTGTATATAGACCAACAAATTACAAACTTGAGGATACTGACCGGTTGCTGTTCAGCACTATCAAACATGCATCTGAAGGGAAAACACCCTTGTTTATAATGGGAGATTTTAATCTCCCTGACTTGAAGTGGCCATTGTGTGATGTAGATGTCGACCATTACAACAAACTGCATAGTGAATTTGTAGATATGTATACAAACAGCAACTTGGATCAATTGGTGTCCAGTATAACAAGAAAGCGAAATGATGAAGAATCCTTGTTGGATCTGATCCTTTGTAACGAGATTAATTTGTGTACAAAAGTAGAACACCATCCAAACATAGGAAAGAGTGATCATCTTGTGCTTGTAGCCACAATACAAATTCAAAACCAACTGTCTACAAAGCACCTCAAACGCTCACGAAGACACAACTTCTTCAAGACTAATTATGGAGAAATGTGTGAAACACTAATAAAAAACAACATTATGGATTTAAACTGCTCTGATGTTGATCAAGCTTGGAATAATTTCACAAGCATTACCCATGACGCTATTAACACACATGTTCCTTTAACAAGCAGATGCTCGAATCGAAACATAAATAAACCATGGATCAATAAGGCTGTGTTAGAAATGATAGACAATAAAAAGCGATTGTGGAAAATATACTCATTTAAAGGCACTGATGAGTCATATAAAGATTACCGCAGACTAAACAATAAAATTGTAACATTGGTTAAGAAGTTAAAAATGGAATTCGAAAGAGGAATCGTAAATAGTGGGCCTAAAGCCTTTTATTCGTATGTGCGCCAACAGCTTTCTTCAGCGGTGTCAGTACCCCCCTCATTGAAGGACGATGGTAAGAATTTAATCAATGACCAGAAGACAGTGGCCAACCTGTTCGCTAAGCAATTTGTGAAGTCGTATACTGCGGAACCACCAAACACATCAATGCCATGTATTAAGATGCCACGCATTGAAAAATCTATTGAAAATATCACAATTTCCCCAGATATTGTTAGCAAAACCCTCAAAACATTCAGCGATACAACATCAATGGGTCCTGATTCTCTGCCTTCAATAGTATTAAAGCAATGTAGCAATGTGCTTTCTCACCAACTGTCACATATTATGAATGTGTCTCTTAAAACAGGAAAACTACCGCAGGAGTGGAAGGAAGCTCATGTGACGCCAATATATAAAAAGGGTGACAAATACCTTGCAGCCAACTACCGTCCAATCAGCCTTACAAGTATAGCTTGTAAAACTATGGAAAAAATAATAGCAGCAGAAATAAGGCAATTTATCAGTATGGAGAATGTTATTATGGAAGAACAACATGGGTTTGTTCCTAAGAGATCCACTGTCACAAATCTTCTTACTTGCCTTGACAAGTGGACGTGCAACTGGAATAACAATCAACCAACTGATACTATTTACCTGGACTATGAAAAGGCTTTCGATAGGGTTCCCATTAAAAGATTGACAGCAAAGCTCGAGCACATCGGAATACGTGGACAGCTTCTTCAATGGATATCTGACTTCTTAACTAATAGACAATTCAGAGTAAGATTGGGGGACACACTATCAGAAGCTCACAATGTACACAGCGGAGTGCCTCAGGGATCTGTGATCGGACCTGTCTTGTTTGGTATCTTCATTACTGACCTCAGAAGTGCTATTAGATCAGACTTATCTGTGTTTGCTGACGATACCAAAATAATGGGAAACCCCCTCATCAGTCATAGCGTTATACAACAGGACTTGGATCGTATTGTACAGTGGACACAGGACTGGCTCATCCCATTAAATGCAACGAAGTGTACCGTTTTACATATGGGCCGCAACAACCCGAAGTTGAAATACAAGATTGGTTTGGTGGAACTGAAACCTGTAAGTTCCCAAAGAGATCTAGGGGTAACCATCACACATAACCTCAAGTGGGATGTACATATCACAAATATAGTGAAGAGGGCTAATTCCATGCTGTATGTGGTTAGAAAAGCATTTAACATCATAACAAAAGACTTGTTTATAAAGATCTACAAAACATACATCCGCCCGCTCTTGGAGTACACATTTCAAATATGGAATCCATACTTCAAGAAAGACATAGAAATGCTCGAAAAAGTACAACGGAGGGCTACAAAAATGGTTATATCATTAAAAAACATGTCATATGAGGAACGCCTTATTGAACTAGACTTAACTACACTGGAGCAACGCAGGCAACGGGGAGATCTGATTGAAACATATAAAATATTAACTGGACACTACAATGTGAAAGACATCGGAAACCTCTACACTATGAATTCTAATACCCGATTGAGAGGACACCCATTGAAGCTCACCAGGTCTCCGTCTGTTAGCAACCCTAGAAGACACTTTCTACCAAATCGCGTGGTGACCATTTGGAATAGTTTACCGGAAAGTGTAATTAGTGCTGGATCAGTGAACATTTTTAAAAACAGACTAGACAAACATTTAAAAACAACAAAATGAACACAAGTGCAGTGATATGTACGCATCAGATCTGTGATCTGCTAGTGCATTATAGAATAATAATAATAATAATAATAATAATAATAATTGAATACGACATGTTGTGCTTTTAATGTATATTAAAATTGCTCTTTACAAGATATCATTACAAAAAATATTTTGGTAGATATGTTGAACCATACGTCTGTTCATCCCGGATGGCAGCGGCCAGCAGGATCAGAGCAGGCCTACATTAAAATCTGTTGAAAGATCTATGTGTGTAAGAACAAAAACTTCATTTTATATTATAGTGTACAGATACTATATTTTGTGTCACAAGGGACTTTACACAGATTTATGAAATGGTCACAAAGAACATGGATACCCAGAACAAGAATTTGTGGATCGCACAAAAAGTTGTCTTATGTAAGGATAAAATCCACAACACTGAGTGCAGTAGGAAACGGCGAGGTGACCGCTTAAACCACTACGCCGTCCCTGCAGTCTAAAACACAGTGATGAACATGATTAGAAACCGACAATGATCATATCACCACAGTCTTAAACACTATTAAAGCAGTAAGTAAACACACAACTGTACATTATTTAGCGCGGCTTCTTGCTCCCTTGTAATTCTTCATGTGGCTTGGATACATATTTAATTAATCAATCAATTAGGTGAGATATACTGGTTTTACGATTGTATTAAGTACCTACTTACCTGTAAAAAAAGTATCATCCATTTGTATAATAGGATTCTGTTCGTCGACACCCAAGACATGAACAGCTCTATATTTTTCAATATTTACACTATCTTCAAATTCGGCATACACTAATATTTCTTCTTCAGCGTCTGAAACTTCAACACTCATGCTGGTTCCTGGTATAAAAGAGATAAAGATTTAAATAATGTCCTGTAGTTGAACAAAAATTGTAACTACAGCACGTTGGGTAAAGATAGTTTGGTGATAAAATGAATAAAAATACCTACTTTACCTATTTATCACACACTGTCTGTCGGTTTCTGACGGTCGGACATAGGGACACGAAAAAAGTATCGATACTTTGTGGTATCGAGTACGTTTCCTTTCGATACCGATACCATTGTACTCAAAACTTTGTATTCAATACTTTTACTCAATGATTACTATTTTAAAAGGTTTCGAATCGAATAAATTACAGTACATTATTACTTATGAACAATCATGAATCAAACAGATAGAACAGACATATTGAAGACAATCATTTGATTGCAATCTCATGTTTATTAGATCCAAGATTCAAGAACATCCAATTTCAGGATGCCAGAGCATGTGCAAAGCCAATTTCTTTACTGAGAGGATTTATTATTACTACTTCTAGTATTATCGGCAGTGAACGATTTCTGGAGTCACCATTAGAAGTAGGCTCTTTTGAAAAACAAAACAAAAACACAAGTTCTTCATCTTCATTACAGTCTGTAAATAAGGATAAGTAATAGCTTATGCTATTACTTCATAAACAGCCTCTACTAGTCCACTGCTGGACATAGGCCTCTCCTTAGAAAGGAGGTTTTGGCCTACTACTTATCTACTTAAAATATATATATTACTTATGTTAATGCTATTACTTATCCGCACAGGTTTCACCACTTTTCTTTGATCCTTTGAAACAATGGGAAGAAATCAAAGTTGTTTTCCCAAAATAATATTACATAAGTGGGCATGAGATTTTTTTTTAATTCCTGCGACGTCAGTACCCACAGAAAGATTATTTTATAAAGCAGGAAGTACTATAACAAAAGTCAGAAAGCGCTTATCACCAAAAAGCGTTTGTGAACCCGATCCCTAAAAAGGGGACCGATCTGACCCGTCCAACTACAGGCCTATAACCATAACTCCTTTGTTCTCTAAGATTTTGGAATCCATAATCAACTGCAAGCTCCTCCGCTACTTAGATACCACCAGCTACTCAATGACCAACAATATGTTTTTCGCCGGGGTTGCTCAGCCGGGGGGGCACAGGCGATTGAGACCAAAGGCGAGGCTTGTGCGGTTAGTTTGGACATGGCGAAGGCCTTCGATCAGGTCTGGCATAAAGCGCTTCTCTCGAAGCTACGTTCCTTTGGGCTTCCCGAGAAATTGTGTAATTGGTTCACCAGTTTCCTTGCGGACAGAAGCATGAAGGTCGTTGTCGACGGTGCATGCTCCGACCGGAAATGCTGGTATCCCACAAGGCTGTGTGCTATCACTCACACTGTTTTTTCTGCAAATCAATGACATGTCGCAAACTAGTAGCATCCATTGCTATGCAGATGATGTGAGATGCCCTTCACACCGGCCGCCTCAATATTTCTTGGGAAAACGACATCCATAGTCCCAAGATCTTTTTGCCCCGTTTCGACACACCGCGAACGAGAGCCCCGGTGGGGTGACGGTCCGAGGGGATTTCCAACACGTTAAAAAAAAAAGGTTAGGTTCGAGAGCCGGAGACGACGGGGCAGCGAGGCTGATGTTCCGCCCGTCTGGGAATCGGAGTTGGGGCGGCTGTTCTACGGATTCGATCCAAGAACACTGTCCCCGGGCCGGACGGGGTTCCAGCCCGAGTGATGGCCTGAGCCCTCGACTACATGTCGGACCACCTCAGGGGGGTGTTGGACGCTAGCCTGGAGTCCGAACGCTTCCCTGAGCGCTGGAAGTGCGGGAAGCTGGTCCTGCTGAACAAGCCAGGACGGCCTACCGAATAGTCCGGCGATAGTCCGAGCCAGCGGCCGATAGTCCCAAGATCTTTTTGACCCGCACAACCAATCTGTGAAACGGGTTATTGTCTGCGGTATTTCCGGACCGATACGATCTTCAAACCTTCAAGAAAAGAGCGTAGTCCTTCCTAAAAGGCCGGCAACGCGTTTGTGACTCCTGAGTTGCAGATGTTCATGGGCGGCGATGGTCACTTTCCATCAGGTGACCTGTCGTCTGCCCCCTCTAACATAAAAAAAAACGGCTGGATAAACTCCTATTTTCAAGCGATTCTACGAAGGAGCAATGGGAACTTTATTTTTTAAATTGTGAAGTTACAGTTGTCTTTTTTTATCGTTGTATTAAATCTATGTACCAATGCCATTTGTTTTTTTGTTCTACTGAAGATAAACTGACGTTACTTACTGACTGACATTGACGTCCTGACGTATGCGCATTAGGCCCTAAGAAAAGTACTCGACACTTTAATCAATCAATACTTTTGGTTCGATACTTTTATGAGCACTATACTTTTTTTCGATACTACTCATGAGTACAGTATCGATACTTTTTATTCGATACCGTGCCCCTAGTCAAACACTGTCCTGTTAGTGTTGTCGATCTTACTTTTTTTTTTTTTTTTTTTTTTTTTTTTTTGCGTTTATTTGCGATCAGCCCAAAGGCTATGAGCAAATATGCTGTGTGATGCTGTCGTGCGGAGTAGCTTCCCATTGGAAGCATCTACTCATCTGCTACCCAGAGCTACTGCCGGCCATCTAGCTCTAGGATATGGTGACGTTTTAGTCGTCTCGCATACTCGTCCATGGTGAGTTGGCGAGCGAGTACGTTAGGGTGACAGGTTAATCGCTCTTTGTATTTAGCTGCCAAACTCCGAATTTCCTCCTTGATTGTTTTCATTTCCAGGTGCTCGTGAACTTCGTTATTGGTTATGCACCATGGTACCTTCGCAATTGATCTTAGGATCTTGTTCTGTTGGCGTTGTAGTATATTTAAGTTGGTATCGCTTGCGCTGCCCCACAGTTGCAGACCATATGTCCAAATGGGCTTTAGGATGACCTTATATATAAGCAGTTTGTTGTCTAAGGAGAGTCTCGAGTTCCTTCCTAGCATCCAGTATAGGCTGTTGTGCTTTAGCTGAAGCTCCTGTTTTTTACATTGAATGTGGTGCCTCCAGGTTAGTCTGCGATCAATGTGTAAGCCAAGATATCTCACATGGTCACTGTGTGGCAGAGCACATTGGCCCAACTTTACAGGTGGGCAGTCTCCCTTTCTAAGGGTGAATGTCACCTGCACGGACTTCGCAGCACTAACCTTTATTTTCCATTTTTGGAGCCATTCGCTTAGTTTGTTAAGGCCCTTCTGCAAGTTTTCCGATGCCAGTTTTGGATCTTTGTTACTTGCTAATAAAGCGGTGTCGTCTGCAAATGTAGCTGTAGTTATTCCTGGTGTTAACGGTAGGTCAGCAGTGTATAACGTGTAGAGCATGGGGCCGAGAACAGATCCTTGTGGTACCCCGGCGTTAATCTCTTGGAACCCAGAAGTGGCATCACCTTCCTTCACATAAAATATGCGATCCTCGAGGTAAGATTTAAATATATGAAAGTAAGCGTGGGAAATATTCTGCTTGATCTTACATAATAGGCCTTTGTGCCAGACCTTGTCAAATGCCTGCTGGATATCCAAGAACGCTGACGAGCAGTATTCCCGTTGTTCTAAGGACTTTCTTATGGCGTCACATACTCTGTGAGCTTGTTCCACTGTGCCATGGCGTTCTCTAAAGCCGAATTGGTGATCCGGTATCACTTTGCGCTCCAAAAGGCTCGGCATAATTCTGCAAAGTATTGTCTTCTCCAGTACCTTGGATAGAGTAGGCAACAGGCTGATTGGTCGATAGGATGTTTTGTCGTTCATTAGTTTGCCAGCCTTGTAAATCATGATGATTTCTGAGACTTTCCACGCACTCGGAAAGTACCCTATTCGTAACATAGCGTTGAAGATGATGGTGATGAAGACAATAGCCTTTCTCGGTAGTTTCAGCAATATCTCTTTAGTTATTAGGTCGTAACCCGGTGCCCTTTTGCTATCCAGTCGTTTGATCGTTTTTGTGACTTCTGCGGGTGACACTGGTCTAGGAGGAAAGTCCATTTGAAGGTCTTGTTTTAGAATGAGATCAACATATTTTTCTGATGAGTTATCCAGTATTACATTCGGTTTGAAGACGCTTGTTAGATCTTACTTTTAGTAACTTTAATTCGTATCAAGTTACTATTTCAACTTTTTTCAAATCACTGTCTAGAAGAGAAAAAGTGGAATATATTGATAATATAGCTTCCATTGGTGAAAGAATTTGTAAAATCGGTATAGTACTCTAGGCCTTGAAATTGTAACAAACCAACAAAATCAAATTTCATGTTAATAGTAGACTAACTTTGGCTCCGCTCGTGTGTATGTTACTCGCTGATAAAGTAGCTATCCATCGGTGGTAAAAAATTGAAGTCGGTTTAGTGGGCTAGGCGTAAAAGCGTAAGAAACAAATAAACAAACAAACTTACTTTCACATTTCTATACTAATATTATAAAGCTGAAGAGTTTGTTTGTTTGTTTGTTTGTTTGTTTGTTTGAACGCGCTAATCTCAGGAACTACTGGTCCAATTTGAAAAATTCTTTCAGTGTTAGATAGCCCATTTATCGAGGAAGGCTATAGGCTATATATCTAAGACCAATAGGAGCGGAGCACCAATGAAGAATGTTTCAAAAACGGAGAAAATTTATTACTATTGAGAGACGCAGACGAAGTTGCGCGGGTCAGCTAGGATAATATAAATATGAAAGTATGGGTGGAAGTTTGAAGGCATTTATGAGATGGATGTTGTATAGACAGTGTATAAGGCAAAAGATATAAAGGATCTCTAATAAAGTATATTACAAATATTATGCAGCGGTATAAAATCTTTGAAACAGACATATTTTACCTGTAATGCATGATTGACTCCATATGAGTAATCGACTATTTGAAAACTAGTTCATCCCTATCAAATAACTAGCAGCAACCACAGTACGACACGCACGAAGTTAGAAGAAAATTTTTGTACATTCAGTTATTTTCTTGTGAAACCAGTGGTTAATTGGATCCAAAATGTCTGACTGGGATACGGTTACGATTCTTCGTAAAAAACCACCAAAAGCATCCGCTTTGAAGACTGAACAAGCCGTAAACGCTGCACGCCGTCAGGGTCTACCAGTTGACACTCAACAAAAATTTGGTGCAGGAACTAATAAGCAACACGTTACCACTAAAAACACAGCAAAACTTGATAGAGAGACTGAAGAATTGCGCCATGAAAAAGTATCTCTCGATCTGGGGAAACTTATAATGCAAGGAAGACAAGCGAAAGGCATGAGTCAAAAAGATTTGGCAACTAAAATTTGCGAGAAACCTCAAATTGTAAATGATTATGAAGCCGGCCGTGGAATTCCAAACAACATTGTATTGGGTAAAATTGAAAGGGCAATTGGAATAAAACTACGAGGAAAAGAAAGAGGCCAACCACTACAGCCTCCTGGAGAAAAAAAATAACGGATTCCCTGGGAGGCGAAGACCTAATTCCGATTTGTTTATTGCATAATTATTATTCTATCTCATTTTTGCTGTTATAATGTGTTCTTTATTATTGTATACTTAAAAAACTAACAAAGTAAAATGATGTAAGCATTTATTTTCCTCTGGAACGTTCCATCTGTGATGTTACCACCAAGGAAAAATGTTTAGTGCACATAAAATTTGAGAAAGTGGTGGAATGGTGATGTGATATGCAATAAAATAGCTATTTATGATTACTATTCGTATTATTTTATTCAATAAAAGTTTAGTTATAACATATTTTGAAATATTTGAAATTTCATCAATGGTGTAATCTGTTAACAATATTGTTTTGTTTTAATTAATGCAAACAAAGTAACCTTCATTTTAAAATCTTATCTGCTTCAAGTCTATGTTTTACATTTGCAGATACTTTTAAAGCAGATGTGTTGCGGTTCACTTGGTTGGCCTTACAAAACTGAATAATTTCTACATTTTCTAGTTCTATAATGCTAAATATAATTGTTAACTTAGGTATATGTTAATATATTGAATTGATAAGGTACTAAAATAGTCATTAAAATTTTAACAATCATCAATATTTATATTGCCTGCTTTTTAAAGACAGGAGTTACAATTTTCTCCATCTGACACCTATTGTGTTAATATTTGTATATAATTATAACAGTATGTGGTAGCAATTTATTTAATTACATGAAAATGATTAAATTTAAATTGTTTACTGATTCAGATATTTTAACAAACTCCTTGTTCTAACATGTGGAGGAAATGCATACAATCAAATTAGTTCACAATAACAAAGAGTTAAGTGTTGACAACTGTAATAGTAACAAACTGTAAAAGGGTTGTCAGCATCCTTATATATAGTTTAATTCACTACATAATAAATTCAATCAAATTCTATATTAGAATTGTAAAGAGGTTATGTTTGTGAGTTTGTATGTTCGGGGTAATCTCAAGAAGTACGGGTTTGAATTTAAAAAATATTTGAAGCCCTTTTATCGAGGAAGGATATATAAAATTAGACTATTACCAATAGGAGCCGAATATCAATGAAAAATGTTGCGAAAACCGAGAACATTTATTCCTTTTGAGTTTAGCAGATGAAGTGGAGCGGGTTAGCTAGTTAACAATACGAAGGTTATGAAGGAACTTGGATTTATAATAATTTTTAAATAACTAGTTTTATTTGCACGTACTGCAGGAAGATAGCCAAAAATTAATTATCAGCTTGGTTCTCAAACATTTTATACCTAAAATAAGTGTTAAAGCGTTATCCATAATGAAGTTACAAGGGGTCAAAAGTGTCGTGACTGGCTTTGAGGAAATCATGGTATGGCCACTGTAGTAACCATATGGTTATTTATTAATGTGATATGGCTATATTATTGCTGCTGTATTATTTTCACTCGAACTGGTTGGGGGCTATATTGTTCCCTAGCCCTTTATTTTTATTTATTTTTCCGTGCAGAAATCCACTCGGATACCACCTACCGGTGACATGTGGAACTCGAAGCGACTAATAGCCGGGGAACCAGGTGTACCCTAGAAAGGAAGTCCCTGGTGCCACGACATACCTCGGGCCATCTACAACAAGTAGACGACCCCCCGTGTGGGAACCCATGTGCTCCCTCTGCTCCCTGGAAGCGAGCGCGCTTTGCAACGCGCTCGCCGCCACCCCGGCCTGCTTCTGCTAGGGTGACAGATGGCCTCACCTGTCACCCCCAGGCCTGCGCTTATGGAGGACGGAGGTCGTTCTGCGACCTCCGGCGCCTGAGTCGCCTGCGGTACCTGGCCCGTTCCCGGGCCTGGCGGGCCGGGAGAGTTCTAAACCCCTCCCGGTCCCGCTCCGCCGTCTCCTTCGCGAGCATAACTTTCTCGCAGAAGGAGACGGCAGAGTTCCAAGCACTCTCGCTCCGCACGATAGCCGCAATCAGGCTATCGAGCGAGAGAACTCCCACTCCGATGGCCGCCACGAGGTCTCGCCTCTGCTCAACCCACGCCGGGCACTCTGCCAGCGTGTGGAGAGCCGTGTCCACGGTCTGGCCATCACAGTGGTGGCACTCAGGCGTTGGCTCCTTGCGGATCAGACACAGGTGATCCCCGAAACATCCTTTCCCAGTGATCACCTGCGTCAGTCGGTAAGAGAGGGTCCCGTGACGCCTCTCGAGCTAATCCTCCATAACGGGTCTTACCGCCGCGATGACGGCGTGCCCGTGTTCCCTATCCCTAAAAAATGAATATAGACATATGAGACCATTTAGAGGATTTGCTCTGAGTATGCAAATCCATGTTTGTCAATATTACATTACAAAATACTACTTCGCATACAAATTTTTAAACTATCGCTTTCCATTATATATGTAATTATGTATTACGGGAAATAACATTAGGTATTAAATACATACCTTTGAATTGCCTAATGTTTGGATGAGCTCTGGCTGTGGTCACAGGCTGACTGGTTCAGCAGGATTTCACCCGTCCTTCCTTCACGTACGACTCTTGCTTGAAAGTAACGTTCAGTGAAGAAGACTTGCGTACGGTGATATTCAATCCAGTGATTGGTGCCTGCTTAAAGTGCTGGAAGCAGACTTGAATGAGAGATTTTAAGCAGACTTGAAGCCAAAATTAGCTATAAGTTTTAATAATAGTTACACTATGAGTTTAGAACGTGACGGTACATGGAGAAAAGAAAATATCAATAATATCGAGGAAGTGCGGTGGATGAAGAAACTTCTAAAACAGTCAGCCTGCGACCATGGCCAGTGCAACATGGACGAAACGTCAGGCAATTCAAGGGTATGTATTTAATACCTATCGTGAACGCGTTAATTCCCGTAATACAAAATTATTTACTATCTATTATGTACCAATTTATACGAAATACAAGTATCTTTATCTTCATTACACTTAACACTGTAAAATGTAGTCGCTGTTTTTCTTGTACGCTTAGATCTTTCAACCTAGGTATGCAACGGATTTTAATGCATTTTTCAACCAATAGAGGAAGTAATTCAACAGGCGGGATTATATGTATCATCATCATCACTGCTTTTAATAGTCCCCTGCTGGACAAAGGCTGGCTTCTTAGAAAGGAGGTTTTGGGATACAATACCACGCTGGTCAGATGAGTTGATGTAGGGTTTGTGTCAAGTTATTCTTATCTTGGCAGTGCTGTGGTCCTGCGGCGTTTGTTCTTTTAGTCAACTCTTATGACACCCACAAGATGAATAGGGGTGGCGACACTCCGTATTCTTAATCCGTCACCACACGGATAATATACCTACAGGTTGTAAGGGACGTCGTAACTAATACTGAAATAGTGTATTCAGACCATAATTCTGAGTCAAACTCAAATATATTTGTTTCATAAAATCTTTAAAATTATTTGAAATCGTCCCTTGTGTAGACTCTAAAGTCATAGATCAACATACACACAATAGCAACAATCTCTGTTTTGTCAAATATTTAGCAAACTAAATATACACGTATCGAAAGTCATTAAAAAAGTAAAAGTAAATTAAAATAAATTAAAGTCATTAAAGTATTTTAAGTCATGCCTGTGTCGATTTACAATCGCCCATTTCCAAGGGGTTGAACCTCATGAGAAGAAGGGCCAAAGAAACTCACGGCCACTCTTTTTAATCAACAGATATCAAGGGCATCACTAAATATACACAACATTGTTTTGATGTGTGCCAGCATATAAGTTTTAAGGACTAAAAGGTAACAATGCAACGAAGAGAAAACAAGATATAGAAAAAAGATGGAATAAAAAAAGTGAAGTAAAACAAAAAAAAATGGTAAATTAAACATACTAGACTACATCACATTTCCACTACGAAATAGCCTGTGCTAAATTAATCCCAAGCGTTCTTGTCTGCTATGCAATCCACAATTTCCATCCAGCTATCTTTGTTTTTATGAACATATACGAGTATTACATTTTCATATATATATTGACTTGCCTCTATCATTATGTTTATTGCTTCAAATTTTTGTCTCAATTAACAACGATTGCTTTAACTCTCTTTTGCAGCACAAATGTAGTGTGAATGCCGGCAGCCTTCCCCCACAGTAGAATACCGTACGACATTATGCTATGAAAATAACTGAAGTAAGAAAGTCGTGCTGTATCAATATCAGTCAATTCTCGAATTTTTCTAACTGCTTACGCTGCTGAGCTGAGTCTACTTGATAATTTATCTATAAGTGGACCCCACTGTAGCTTAGAATCTAATGTTATTCCTAAAAATGTCGTTGTATCCATAAAATCTAGCTCGACATCCTTAATCATCACAGTGGTTTTCACTGACTTGACATTTGGCGTGGTGAACCGTATATACTTAGTTTTTTCTTCATTCAAAAGCAAATTGTTAACGTCAAACCAATGAACCACTTTCGAAATGGCGATGTTTACGTCTATGAAATTAGTAAATGTGCGTTTGAGTCTAAAAAATAGTGATGTATCATCTGCAAACAACACAATCTCGTGATTATCCTTGACAAGGTGTGATGAGTCGTTAATATATGTATATTAAAAACAAAAATGGGCCGAGAATAGAACCTTGTGGAACGCCCATTTTTACCACAACCCGGAGATCGCTCACCGTTAATTTCATTTTCTGAATCCTATATCCTATAATAATTTTTTTGCCAAATACTGGTAGTACTGAAATAGGCCTAAAGTTAGTTGGGTTAGATATATTGCCAGATTTGAACAATGGAATAGTTTTACTGGACTTCATAAGATCAGGAAATACACCATTATCAACACATTGATTAAATGTAAATGACAATTGATTAGCCACAAGAGATATAATTGTTTTGGTAATTAATACAGAATTTCTTCATAGGTCAGTTACTATTTCAACATTAATAGTGTTAATTTCAAGGGGAGAAACATATTGGAACTTAAATTCACTGTTAATCCTATCTTATCTTTTAAAATTGATTCTACAAGGCATAGTGAGGAGTTTAAAGATTTAGTAGTTGATACAGGAATATTGGTAAAAATGTTCTCAAAAGCGGCAGCAACCTCAGCATTTGATGTGATGAATTTATTGTTTACATTCAGATTAAATTAATTATCGCAGTATTGTTTTTTCTAGTTTCATTGTTACTAATTTTCCAAGTGGTTTTAATCTTATCATTGCTACTTTTAATCTTTCAACTTATAAAACGGGACTTAGCCAATTTACAAAGTTTCCTAAACAGCTTCGAATAAATAACATAATTATGAAACTGTTCACTTTTATTACAATTTCTCTCATCATATAGCTTATATAATCTTTTCCTACTTTTGAGTAAGCCAGTGGTAGCCCATTCACTAAATGTGGTGTTACCTTTAACCACTAGCGTTGTTGGTGTAAAAATGGTGTTAATTCTTGAAGAAAAAGTTTCAAAAAAGCTATTATGATAAGTGTTAGGGTTATTGTCTACGCAGAGTACTGAAATATTGAAAGCAGCTTTAAGTTTATTTTTAAAGCTTTTGCAACGCTTTTCAATTTTAGGTATCACCAGTCACCACAATCCTTTTTACACGCTTTATCAAAGAATATATCTACTCTCTTACGAGAGCGCTTTATATTAGCTTCACTTGTTATTACACGCTTTATATTAGCTTCACTTGTATGTTTGTTTGTATGTTTGTAACCGAATCCTTTAGGCCTGATTTTGACTGACTTTAAACGGTCAGAATTCGTTCAAACTTTGTAGATATATCGAGGACCGATGACAATACACTTATTTAACAAAAAAAAAAATAGTTTTAAAAAACTAAAAAACACGCTTTCTATAGAAAACCAAACTAAAAAATCTATACAAATAAATAAAATTGGAGTGTCTGTTTGTAATATTAAAAGAACCGCTGTTTACTAAATGCATATGTATGTTTACACGTTACATATGCCAAAATAACATTTTTTACAATTTTTGTCTGTCTGTCTGTTTGTTCCGGGTAATCTCTGGAACGGCTGGACCGATTTCGACGGGACTTTCACTGGCAGATAGCTGATGACATAAGGAGTAACTTAGGCTACTTTTTTTAGACTAGCTTCGCCTCGCGGCGTTGCCCGCGGTTATAACAACAAACGCGGGTAACACCGCGGGTCTCAGCTAGTAGAAAATAAATTTGAAAAAAAGCGTTGGGTGCCTGTTGTCAATAGTAAAAAGCATCCCAGTAGTTTTTTAAAACTAGGATTTTTTCTGCTACTTTTTCATATTTATCATAGAGAGATACTAATTGACCACAGTGGTCAGAGTGTAATTGATTGATTATTTTCTTATCCTTAATTACAATGTCTTTAAATATATTGTCTAAACATGTAGCAGTGGTCGCATTGATTCGTGAAGTCGAAAATCATTGTAGGTAATTTTCCATTTTTTGGCTTTCATGATGAAAAATGATCACAATGAGTAAATAGAACATGTTATCGAAAACAATTTAATAAATACTGCATGCTGTCAAAAACTGCAATAATCAAACAGGCCCAGGCCTCCACCCTGGCCGCCATATTGTGTGTGCGTAGACTGTTTGTACATAATACAAAATAAATGTAGTTTTTACTTTTGTGCGAATTCCTACCTACGGGGAATGACCTTTGACAGCTGATTGCATAAAAACATTTAATTTTCCGGCAGAAAATTCCAATGATTTTCGACTCAGAATGATGGCTCATATTGTAGTCATCATCACATCAACATCATACATGTAGTAAGTAGAGGAAATACGAGAATTTCAAAGATTTGTAATGTGAAGTCGTATAAAACATGTTTTTGTGCGCTTCCATTGCAAACGCTGGCTAAGCCTTACGAGATAGATCAGAATAATGTACTACAGAATTGTATATTTTAAAAAGATCTACAAAAATCCTATCTGTCCTACTAATTAAAACTAAAGGATACTAAGTTTATTACGTGCAATAAAGTTACAGCAAATGGAAATATAAGAAAACTATAATTAGAAATAATTCTGTATTGTTTAAATTAAAACTCAAATATAAAACTATTTACATCGTTAACCGTAACCAAAGAAAAATATTACCGGAAGAACGACTTTTTATGACATTTGTATTAGTGCGAAGACATGTCCACCCATTTGGTGTCAACGAAACAGCGTTATTTTTATTTATTATTATTATTTATTTAATTCGATATCATTACTCTCTAAGTGAAATGTAGATAGTAACATATGCCTACATTTTTTATAGCTTTACGTTTTCGTTTTCGTGTGTTGCAAAAACATTGTTTAGCTTGATAATAAAACAATATGTTAGAAAGCTAAACCACTTGGATAACAAGTTTAAGATTTGCAGAGTTTAGAAATTTAGATGGTGATTTACTAATAGTTTTTCTTCTATTCGCTGTAAATGGTAAGAACAGGAAGAAAAGATAAAAAAGAGTCTTACCCAGTGGCGGATTTGCAGATTCGGCCGCCCTAGGCCCCAGGCCATCAGCTAGGCCATCACCCTCCGGCAGCACTCATCAGATAGACTACATAATGAATGTATTTTTTGCCTAATTTTATCGAAACCGGTTACAGGGATAATTGCACATTTAAAGAAAATGTTGTCATAAGATTTCCCTCAGCAGTATAAAATGACTTTCCCCAATCTAGTTAAAGTTGAAGTAACAGCCTTTAAGCTAACAGGTTTGTGGCCTATGTTTGGAATATTGGTATTGTGTAGGACATATAGCTCTTTCAATAGAAAGATGATATACTGCGGCGCGTAGTGGTATGCCTCGTGACGCCTCAGCATCATGTCATGCGGTTTCATTTTACGGATTGCAATGCCCCGGTGTCCTGCAAGCCATGTAGATCACAGGATTACGACCACCGTCCTCCCCAGGAATTAGCGACGGGAGCGTTTGGAAGACTCATACCTGAAATTGTTCACACTGAACTGTAATGCCCCAAAATATCAAAAGCTATAATTTATCTATTGATTATAATATAAGAACATAAAAACAATAAGCTGGTTCAACGACTACACTCAGCAGATTGATAAATTGAGGAGCTACACACATTTCTAGGCGAATTGCCGTTGCGATCTCTATATGACTTTATCTATATCTATGTTTTCGTCCCATATCTTTACTAACAGCACTACATATTATAGGCCGTTTACACGTATGGCGAGCCTCGACAAGACCGGGTCCGTTCCAGCCTGCAGATATTAAAATTTCAAAATAATAAAAATCTCATTTTATAGATCTCAATTAGCCCTTTCGACCTACGTTAATTAATTTTTAAGCCCGTTTTTCGTTTTCCCAGGAAAAATAGAAATATAATTTTCAATTTGCGTGCTGTGCGTGCGTGTCCTTCCTTGCGTGTAGCATCAGCTGATTTCTGTCTGATTCTGTCGCGCATGCGCAATGCGCAAATAATTGGCTTGGAAATGCCACGACGGTTTTTTACTGTTTAGAATATTAATTATTGAATATTTTTAAGAATTAGCACGCGGGCAAATTAAATTAGCGCAAGGGCAATTTTTTCACGCTTGGTAGAGTAAAAAATAATCATTTTTCAAAGAGATATGGCTATTTTAAGTAGAGGAAAATTTAAAATTATATTTCTATTTTTCCTGGGAAAACGAAAAACGGGCTTATAAATTAATTAAGGTAGGTCGAAAGGGCTAATTGAGATCTATAAAATGAGATTTTTATTATTTTGAAATTTTAATATCTGCAGGCTGGAACGGACCCGGTCTCGACAAGTGTTCACATACACAAGCTGAATGTTTGGCTCGGCTCGCGTATGCTCGTCGTCTATCGGTACTAGTGTTGGTTTTTGATCACAGATCAAAGGTAGCTCGCGGCAAGCATTTAGCACGTATTTACACGTTTGACGTACATTGAGACTTAATGTTGATTCCCTACTGCTCAATTTGATATTACAAGTATTGAAGATGAGCAGTCGGTTATCAACATTATGTCTCAATGCTTTACTGATTGAGCAGTTTAGTTGAGTAGTAGAGCTAAACAATTTTTTTCTAAGTTGAGTGCAGTCGTTTATATTTTGAATTAAAATATGTCCACGTCTGCTATGTTTGCCTGTCCGGAACTCAATAGCGCACTGGCAAGCGTGTAATTTAAAAAGCGTTTGTAAAGACTTGGAGCTTATGGACGTTTGCCAGGAAGTTACATATATGAGCACTAGGTTCCTCTTAACACAAATTGACCCCTTCTACTGTTACTGTTTACTACTACTCTTCTATTATCATTGTTTATTATACTCCACTTTATTTTAAAAACCTTTTTCTAGTTTAGTAATTTTTGTATAGTGTGATACGATTAGTGATATCGATAAAGCTCTTTGTTCATTTATGAAGAGAGATAAGAAAAAAAAATTAAAAAAAAATATGCAAAAAAATAAACTTGACTTTAAAGTGATTTAATTTTTAAAAGTTCCGCTTTTCTTTTGAAATTAAGCTAATAGGCAGTATTGCTACCGAATTTAAACACCATAAATACCTAGCAACATTGTTACTTGTTTACTTCATTGACGTTTAGACAAATCTGTTTGTCGTTATACTACGGTATAACCTATTGATATAAATAGTAATTTTCTGACAAATTATTTAATTAATTTTACATTTGCCATCTTAAGTGTTAAATTCGAAAGTGGTGAATCTTCAAATTATCATACACTAGCCAACTATTATATACTCTAAATTATTAGTACCATGTACTAGGATCGTGTCAATCTTGGCTTTGATTTCTTCAAAATATATTTATCTACAGAATGGCTTTTTCTTTTGGCACTAATACCAATACTCAAGCAACCGCTTTTGGAGCCGCTGCAAAACGTAAGTTGAAAGAAATGTGCCTAAAACTTGCCTTGTTCTTGCAGACTCAGAATCTACTGTTATTTTCAATTGTTTTAGTATCTATTCAACTCCATTATTAAAATCTACTAATGTACTGAAAAAATTGAAAACCATCGTCATTAGCTACACTCTTTTTGAGTATGACACATGCATTTCAAGACAATTTTTTATGTTTCAGCTACATTTTCATTTGGAAACTCGGCAACAAACACATTTGGCACTACTACGACATCCTCAGGTTTCGGATCATTTGGAGCAACAGCAACCAGCACTGGTAACATTTACTACTTATACTAAGTAATAATATTATAATATTGTGAAAGATAGGGTTGACAAAAACATTACTAATGTTTAATCTAGGTTTTCTACCAAGCTTAAGGCTTGTTAAAGGTAACATGGCACCTCTTTAAATGCCAGTTCTGGTAAACTACAATTCAATACATAATGTAATATGAATGCAAATAAATACATGAATAAATGAATACATGATGTATGCAATTGCTGGTGCATGATTAAAAGTTAGTTGATGATACCTTTTTAATGATTGTTTTCTGTACATTTTTACAGGTGCACCGTTCGGTGCACTAGGAACAGCGCCTGCCTCTACAGCACCTTCGCTATTTGGTGGAGCTGGTTTTGGAAGCACTCCAGCTAAGCCTACTATAGGTACTTAATTATTTTTATAAATATTATTTGACTGGTACTTATTTTTTGAGTTTTTTTTATACTCCCATACTAGGAATAAATCCTGTGTCGCAGGGGTATTTACAAACATACATCAAACGGACACAAAGGACACCCAGACTCAGAACAACAATTTGTGGATCACACAAAGTGTTGTCCCGTGTCGGGATAGGAAGTGGCGAGGTGATCACTTAAACTACTATGCCATCCGTGCCAATATGCCAATTATTCGAAAGATGATTTTTGTTTTAGATTCATGTTTTTGTACCTTGTCTCATGAAATGCAGATAAGTACAACTGTGTTAGTGGTAACATTAGTTTTGGCTATAGAAAGTAGAAACTTACAACATTGTCTATTATAAGCCTTTGAAGGGGCCAATATATAAAGACTGTGCATCTTTTGCTTTCCAGACTTGTTTTCTTATACAAGTAATATATTTGAATTATTTATATATTTCAATAGCATTATACAATGTTTCTTCCAATTATGAAGTAATTGTTGTTATTTTGTTTCGCGAATAGGCCTGGCCTTACATTTCTTAGTGGTCTATCTGTACATAGTAAAAAACTGATGTCCCTTCCCTTTCTTTTAAGATCTTTCAAACCATTTAATGGTGTTTTCAATTAAAGAGGAAAGTATATATGTATAATGCATGCATATTACACTCACAGCACATTATTACCCACATTGCACCTGTGCAAAGTTGGGTCGGGTCGCTAGTATAGTATATAGAATATAATATATACATTTTTTTATTTTGTTTTTTAGGTTTTGGTGGAGGCACATTTAGCACAAACACTTTTGGCACAGGAAACACATTTGGAACAGGAGCCACATCATTTGGTACAGGAGCAACAACTTTTGGCAGTGCTGCACCAACATTTGGAAGTAATACACTTGGTACCAACACATTTGGCACAGGCAATACATTTGGTGCAGGTAGCAACTTTGCATCCACATTTGGAAAGCCTGCTACTGGTTTTGGTGGTTTTGGTACAGGTCTTGGAACAACACCACAATTTGGTCAACCTCAGGTATGTAGTGTTAATTTTTACTTAATAACTAATATGTAATTTTAGACCATTGGTGCAGCACTGGTGAATTACAATATGTATTTAATTGTCATCATGCAGCTGAGTCATAATCAAGTGGGAACATGATATTTTGGAACACATTAAATGCGAGAGATGCTTCAAAAATACCCAAATTACTAAAAATGCTGTTGGTTTTAGTTTGATCAAGTTTTTCAGAATGTCATAAACAAATCCGGTGTCAAAGATCAGGTGTCAGTGGAGAATGGGACTAACCAAGAAAAAAACTCTTTATCCAACCAATATTTCAAAATTGGGTAACATATGTAGGGATGTATGTTAACCATTTTACTAGGGACTAATATTATAAATGCAAAAGTAACTCTGTCTGTCTATCTGTTCCGCGTTCACAACTAAATCGCTGAACTGATTTTAATGAAATTTGGCATAAGGATACTTTGATTCCTGAGAAAGGACATATATATTTCACGGCAATAACTGACATACACCCAGGTGGAATAATAAAAGGCAATTACTAGTTTAGAACTTTACTGTTTTTATAATCAGCAAGTCAAAGAATCAAACAATTGAGAATGTAAGGCCTTTAGTGCACACTGGACATTGCTTGGCTTGTAAACAGAAGCACCCTTGCTACAAATTTGCCTTTGATCCTTTATCCTGTTATTGGCAAAAATATTTTTATAAATTTATTTTCGTCACTGTCTCTAGCTTCAATGCACTGTCGCTAGCTTCATTTAATTTAATTCAATGATTAAGATTTATGGTGTTAACAGTGTGAAGTACTTGGAGACATCATAATTTCTCTTTAGAATTGCCTGAACATTTTTACAATGTTTCATTTATATTTTAGCAACAGCAGCAGCAACAACCGCAGCAGCAAGGTCCGACGACAGCGCATGAGGCACTCGTAGCAGCGGTCTTTAATTGTTGTGTGTTTGGAGACGAACGAGACCAAGTACTTGCAAAATGGAATCTTATTCAAGCGAAGTGGGGCACTGGTAAGAGCTATATTTAGTTAACTATAGTTTATAGGCCAGCATTATATATTAAGAATTGCTAGACGATATAGAAAAATAACTTAAATGTGACTAAAAAGTTATTGAATTTTATTTATAGAAATATATTAATTCATATAATATCAAAATATCAATACAGTGCATAAGGTTATACCAATAATTTGTGCTACATTAAAAATTGACGACGTAAAATAGTAATAAAGCCAGCGTATGCAGTGTTGTGTCAACCACTTCTATTTTACTACTATTGGGGAGTCTGGTGGAAACACAGAGATTTCTGTTATAATAAATACGCGCAACTGCAGCTCGTCTGTATCGCCGTATCAGAACGTTGGTATCGATACAACAGCGCGTTTACGGCGCCACTAAAGGTTTGAAGCACATTAGCGCGTGTCATATGTCCTCGGCGCTTCAAAAATACGCCGTGTAAAGCCCTAAAAAGAACCTTCGGAGAAGTCACAAGACAGGAGGAACTTTCCACCTTGACTGTTAAATTATGGACCAACAATAAGTATTTATTTGTTTCAGGCCAAGCGTACTACAGCCGCAATGCACCTCCACTGGAGCTTAATGAACAGAATCCTTTGTGCAGATTCAAAGCAGTGGGATACTCTAGGCTCGGGGGACGCGACGATAAAGATGGTCACGTGGCTATGATGTTTAACAAGTCGGAACAAGATATAAAGTAATTAAATTTTCTTTTTATGTATCATCTGTTTTGATAAACATACAATGCCGTCATGTATTTATGTCAGTAATAAAAATAATTTAACTTTCATTATGTAGAAATAATCAGCAGCTTGTGCAGACGTCTTTGCACACAATGTTGGGGAACAAACCAAATTTGTCAGTCAACATTGATTCTGTTAAGGCAGTTTCAGAAAATAAAAGCCAGGTGAGTTTATTTCTATTCGATTCATATATTGAAATTTACTATTTAATTGTTTCGTTCATTTGTTATTTCAAATTTATTATATTCAATTTATATCCTGTTTATAGTTATTTTAACAACTGTTGACAATAGAAAAGGTAATGAACAAAAATATTAAAAGTTAAGTATATTATGTAAAATGACTGAATATGTACTAGTATTGACACAAAATTAGTAACAAAAAAGTGTTTAGTAGTAACAAACAGTATTTAGTTGCAGATGTTTTGCATTAAACAATAATAAAATACAGACTAGAAAAAAATGTATTGATACTCGCCCTGCTTATAAAGCTTAGCACTTAAAAAATCTTTAAGAAAATTATGAAAGAAAATCTCAGGTTACGATATTTTCCTTCAACATTAATATTTTCAGGTTGTTATATATGTAGTGGACAAGGGCGCCGGTAACTCGCACGTATCCGCCGCCGAGTTGAGTGCCTTTCTCAACAGTGGTAGTGCGCGTTCATCGCTCGCTAACGCTGGATGCACTTCCGTGTCCCCTGTGACGCCCCCTACACCCCAAATGTTAACTCAGTACCTGCAGACACCGCCACCCGGTAAGCTCTGCATTCTGCATCTGAATACTTAAACGCTAAATATAGTTTTTTTAATTTTTCTGCTTCATGTCATTAAGAGATTATGTAGAATTGTTAAAAAAAGCGAGTAAACTGTAAATTTGTTAAAAAATATGTACGTATTCTCAGCTATCTAGCAAGGTATAATAGTCTAGGATATTATCAGAATTCATAGAAAAAAACTTGATGAAATGACTGACTGAAATGAATGATGAAAGACCGGGAGTGTTAAAACTTAAAACCCGGTAATACCTAGTTAAAAACTTGGCTTGTATTATATATTTGGACTGTTTCGTTTTTTATTCGTGACTAACTATTGATAAGTGGACTTTGATTTGTGCTTCTGATACTGTTGAAGATGATGACCTATGCAAACGAGAAATATGTTCATATTTTGATGTCTGTCTGTTAATGGTGGATACTGCCAATGCGTATCCGCACAGGCTCCTGGATAAATACAGAGCACGGTGTCCCGGCCATTAAGTGCCGGATTTTATTGTGTTAGACGGAGTCTAATAAGAGTGAACGAATCTGTTTCAAGGCGATGATCTCATCTGGGTAGACCAGATAAAGATGATGAAGAAGACAACGATTTAGATCGGATTCACCAACTTCAACCAATATTGTTGCCCTTTTTAGGGGTTGAAAATCGCTCCGGATCGCCTGCTCCGCGGGGACTCAGGAGTCATGTTAGACTCTTACACTGGAAAGTGTGCTGTAAATATTATGATAGGATATTATATAATGAAGGAGATATTTTGAAAAAGGCTGGCATCGCGTTTGTGACTCCTGAATTGCAGACGTTCATGGGCGGCGATGGTCAATTTCCATCATCACCCGTCTGCTCGTCTGCCCGCTCTAACATAAAAAATGGCTGGATTTCAGCAGATTTACGCTTAATGCAGATTTAGACCCGTTACTCTATTTCCGAGACATTTCCTGGACATGAGTCCAAATTTGATAAAAACGGTAACCAATTACTTCAGCTTTAATAATTTTAGCCAAAAGCACGGGTAAATCCTAATATAACGGGGATAAAGGGGCCACAAAGAATGTTTTATTTCAACGTGTTGATGGGTATTGTTAAACCACTGGATTGGTACTTTTTTTTTAACCGGGAACAGTACGAAAACTTTTTGGAAGAAAATTTAACTAACTTACTTGATAATTTACCACTTAATCTCATTCGCGGCATGTAGTTTCAGTATGATATTTGCCCTGTGCTTTACAGGAGAAGTGTAAAAGACTCGCTGGATTCTAATAATCGTAATAAGTGGATTAGAAGAGGTGGTTGGGTGGCTCGTTCGGATACGAGCCACCCACTGCACTGCACAACTAGGTACTACCTACCTAGAGTTGTACGCTAATTCTTAATACTCCTGGTCATTCATCTAAGTTTATTTCTATAATTTCTAATACTATCCTAGACTATTATACCTTGTTGACAATACATAGCTACACAATACGTACATATTTTTTAACAAATCTGCAACTTAACTGTCATAGTTTTTTTTTAAATATACCTCAAAGAATATTTTTTTTACAATTTTATCCATTTTTGTTATTATTAACCATCTACTTCTGCCCGTTTGTTAAGTTAACTACAATTTTAGTAATTAAAATTATAAAACCATTTATCAACTACACAAATCAGTAAAAAAGCATTCAAAAAGGATATAAGTTCTAAAAAAATAGTATTAGTAAAAAAAAATATAAAAGTCTTAAAAGTCCAATATTTGAAACTGGTTAAGTTTGGGATATGGTATTTCATAGTGAAATCTTACATAAATTATGGCAACTGCAACCCCTTAAAGTATCTAGGTCGACTTACCCAGTAACCCTGTATATTACATTAAGACAAAAATACTCATCTCTTGCATCATCATTATGGGCTTGTTAAGTAAGCTCAAAATCGTTAAAAAAAAACAATAAGGAAGTCAGTAAGCATATCACAGGTTTCTCATGAAGAGATATAGAAACAAAGGAATATTACTCACATAACAAACAGGGCACATGCCAAGAAGACCAGATGGCCGATGGAAAGTACTTAAATGTAGACCACTGGTCTAGGTATGTAGGACGTGCGGATGTACATTCGACCTTGTAGAATCCCTGGTCGTATGTGAATACAGGAGTACATTGCAGAAATACGAAAAACTTTATTCCGTCAGTCACTAATATGAATTTCAAAATACCGATTTTCATATTTCCGAATGGTTGAAAATTCTAAATATAACAACTCTAATTTATCATTCATCCTATTTTTACAATTCAAATATTTCAATATTCCTAACTTTTTCATTACAATTCTCAAAATACTACCGAGTTTCAATAGATCAAATAACAAAAAGTCCGACTTAATGATAGTTCGAAACATATAAAATTCACCAATTCTAACCTAACCCAAAGAATTAAATAGCAATAGATGATACGCGAAGCAGCTATAAGGAGAAGAAGACACAAAAAAATACACTAACAAATTAGACGTTTATAAATTACATTTAACCTTACTATTGATTTTGAATATATGTGTGTTACTGAATATTATACATATACATATATATAGAATTAGAATCGAAATTTAAGCAATTTATTCGAAGTATTGAAAATCGGAATATCGTTTTTCGGACTGAGAACCCATCGAGCATTTGATTCTTCGAAAGTATAAAAATCAGCAAAACAAACAAATCGCATTTTGTGAATTTTAATGATAGATATTTTAATTCTTAGGTATTATGAAATTCGGACTTGAAAATCGGAACATCGAAATTCGGAATAAAGTATTTGGGAGTTCTCGTCATTTAATCATTTAGTGATGCATGCTGACATAGCAGTGTTTGGTCTGAGGCTAAAGTAATGATGGTAATGATATAGATTTAAAATTGTAAAAAAAGTTTGGTATCGTAGCAATGATGACGATTATAACGACTTACGACGTTTATCCTTTGAAGATGACTAAATAGGTCTTAGAGGCCTGCATTATGATGTCAACATTTTTCTTTATTTGACTTTAATATACAATTATTTGTATTATTTTGTACAGGTATGGATATGCGGCTATGGAAACAAGCACAAGCCGATAATCCTGATCCAGAAAACTATATTCCTGTTCCTATGATTGGATTCTCAGAGGTAAAGTAGTATTTCACAAAACTGTGGCCAGTAAATAAACATACTTACCAGCCCTTCTCACTCATTCTTGAAAAGACGTGAAAAAGTAGAAGGTTAATTGAGATAGATAAACGAATAGGGTGTGGAACGTAGGATAAGGGATACTGCATTTCTTGGATGATGAAACGGGGCTGAAGTAGCTCTTAGAGGACTATCCGTCTATCCACTTGTGATGGAAGAGGCCGCTAGGAGCTGGTAGCCCACTGATGCCAAGGTAAATAGTGGACATCGTTACTTCAAATTGTTTGAGCACAGATCAAAATTAATCTGATCAATGTAAAGCCCGTAGATTCTGACTAGCATTCGTGCAGTTTTACTGCGAGTTCTACAACATAAAAACTCAAAATGTATTCAATGTTACTGTAAAATAAATAATTATATCAATAATTATATAAAGTATAACAAAGCTGAATTTCGAAGCTAAGTGAGTTTAAAAAAATGGAAAATGTACGAAAGCAGACCACAGGACACTAGCTTTGAAGGTATACAGTAGGCAGTTCATATACTCGGCGATAAGAATTTTTACATTTAAATGTTGGTTGAAGTCAATACTTATAGGCGGGACTAGTTTACGAAAATAAAAACACTTTAACGTGTTTAATATCCTAGGCGTGATTATTATAGGAGTGAGTAATCGAAGGTGTTTTGTGGTCAGATCAAGTTCCGCAGCGGGTGCCAGGCGGAGCAGTCCCGCATGCAGGCGCAGTGGCTGCGGCGCGCGGCCGGCGAGCTGGACGAGCTGCGCGCGCGCCGCGCCGCCGCCGGCGCCCGCCTCGCGCACCTCGCCTCGCGCCTGCACGCGCTGCGACACACTCTGCTGCAGGTACACCCCGCCGCCACCTACACACGCTACTGTATATTGCACAGACTAAACTTCTTTGGTTCCGTTCATAACTAATTTATATCCGTACTACTTTTGCTACCCTTAGCTTTATTAATAGTTTGCTATTCAAAACGTCTTTCTTTAAAGATGATAACTCTTAAAAGATGCTAACTTATAAAGGATCTTATCCTTTATAAGTAATTATATATAAAGTGAATATCGAAGGTTGCAAATGTTTACTCCGCAGGTGGTATCTCGCCAAGAAGTAACGGGGCGCGTGGGCGCGGCGCTGAGCCCCGAGGAAGAGGCCGCGCGGGCGCGCCTGCACGAGCTCACCTCCCAACTCGCCGCACCACCGCTTTATAATGTAAGTACTAACTAACATTTACCGTTACGAAATTCACATTATGTTAACTTTTGTAACAGAGTCAGAAGGCATGTTGTATCGTTCTTCTACAATTAGTAGTGCCTTGCAGGCAATCTAAATCTGAATGTTTTAGTCCGAAGTGTGACGTGTAATGACGAGTGGTTTAATAACTTCCATGCACTGAGGTAGTTCGTCTTATCTTCGTTAGATGACTTTGGATGTGTCGACATACAAACCTTCACTTCGTTACTCAACCTTCTGACAAGGAAGCCGGCTGATATTATGTTATACTATGTCCGGTATCAATTAGTCTGGCCCTTATCAACATATCTAAGTACACATTTAAACTCATTTTGGTGGAAATAACTTATTAGTTAATAATACGCAATAAAGCTTTGTATGTAAATCTTCCAACTTAATTCAAACATTTAACAAAGTCGGACTGTATTTTTTAATCTTTATTATAGTTTATTTCGCGTTGCATAGCAATTTCAGCCGCAGGATAAGGACTTTATCGCGCGACAAAGACCTCATCCTGCGGCTGAAATTGCTATGCATTATTTTACCTGGATTTAAGCTTGTAAATTGTCATCCCATATATTACGTTTGTTAAAATCTTATTGTTTTCCAGTCATGTTCAGAAATTAGGCTAAACGTTTCAGAAATGTTTTACTTTGTTCTACTTAACAAAAACTAGAGGTTTAAATGTTATATTTCCATTCATGTAGATCACATGGTGCATCATGTGAGCATCTCACTAGAACTTTTTTATTATGAAACCTTATTATTAGATAGCGTTATGGACACAATAAAGGACTTTCGTTCGCTTGCGCACGACTTTCGATACCAAGTTTGTTCGTCAATATTTCACACGCAATACTGTAAGCTTATCGTGTACTACATTCATTTTTAAATCCCGGCGACCTTGTCTGCTGAATTGTTTCATGTCACTCGCCCTACGCATGCTCGCTTATCGGTTTATTATCGTGTTATCTCCAGACGCCAGACACACACTAAAACAGGTATAGGTGTTACTTACATTGTAAATTTATATTAATTGACACGAGATTGACATCGTTTGTTAGCATGCCAATCGGTCCTTATTTTTCTAGTACCGATGAATGAATGTACTCGTAGGAGTATATTGAGAAATAAGAGATCGGTTAGATTTTGTAACTCGAGTATAGATATAGTATCATGTATATGGCCTACAAATCACATAGGAGTGGAAGGCTAAAGCGTCGTCGGACTACTATTAAGCGTTTTTTTTTTTTAAAGCTGAAATAATTATTATTGTATGAAAATATTAATTGGATGTATAGAAAGTAACTTCTACTAGCGCCATTTCATCGTTAATATATAGCAGAAACTTGATTATTCAATATAATGTATTTTAAACATTACATTAGAATTATTACACGGCATACTGATGTGCAGGCACATTGAACTTCGTGTAATCTTGCCACAATAAAATGATTATTATTTCTCTTATCTACATTATCTACATACACCTTATAAAAGTAACATAATTGTCACAATACTAGATCAATCTGGTTACAAAATTACTTTAATGAGTCATGTTATCATGCAGTCAACTAATGATATTTGATATAGGTCCTGTTTATGTTTGGTGTTATCGTATGATATTTTAATCTTTTAATACTAGTTTTTCGCCTTTTAATTTTTGTGGAACCTAACATAATAGTAACTATTACAATCACTTAACTGTTAGTCATGACTTCATGACTACTACCGTTGTCAAAATGGCTGTAATTGAAATCAAAATATAACAGTAAAATATTTTATTTTTATGAACCTGTATGCGAATGTACTTAACTTTTAAATGAACAAATAAAAGTACTACTAAATATTCGTTGTAATCACAAGAAGTGACTGAATATTTTCACGACACGGTCCTTGAAGATCCGCGATGAAATATCTATATTGTGTTGACTGGTGGATACCAGTCGGCTGAAATCGTGATATGAAATCACTAACATTTTACTCGTTTATTATGTAATGGAGCTCAATAAAATATTAAGATGAAGAGAGATATTAAGTAGCATTATACACGGAAATTGAAAAAAAAAAAAACGAATACATTCTGTACACACGTTACAGCTTACTTTTAAGAATATTATAATTCTTTGTTTATTTTGTTCGTGCACAAACTCGTATATAAATGTCGAATCACTTTTGTATATTTGGCTTACACGTGCATTTTGTACTGAAAACCTCAGTAAAGATTTATAATAACATATACATAATGTATGGATTTATTTATTAACGCTATGAATGACATCGTGTAAATTATAAGTGTCTTTATGTTAACTGATTTTGTTAAATTGATTACATAAATGTACTTTAAATATTTATATAACATGTTACTGTTACGTAACTATAGTTTATTCATTTGGTCTGAAATGTTTTCTTGCTGAGTTGTGTAAATAATGAGAAGGTACTTGGAAGGTTAGTAAAAAGTTTAGTACAGTAGACTATATCAATCATACAATCAATCTGAAGTATATACTTACAATATATTTGTAGAAGTTGTCATATGATAAAACACAAAACCTTTATTTTTGTATTTTAAAACTTTTTACATGCATAACACATTAAGTTTGTCAATATTCTCCATATTTTTAAGTGTGCGTTTCTCATTGAGTAGATCTATGACGTTGTAATAATTGACCATATTACAACTAAAGCTCTATTATACCCGTGTACATAATGTGCTATACTTAAGCTAAGTGTAAATGTAAGAATTGAATTAAATTTATATTATATATACTAAAAGAAACAGCACAAAATCGTATGTAATGCCCCTCAGGTAATTACTTGCCTGATCAGCGACATCACTAATGTAGTAGGCCGTACATGTCACACATGCACTACATGTTTACTTACATAGAGATTGTCTGAGCGGCGAGACGTTACATAAGAAAACACACGATGGCAATTCATGTGTTTTGTTTGCACAAAAATTGACTTTATTTTCTTTAGGTAATTGAGATGACATAGTGATAACATAGTGCGGAGCTACTTATTTTGTGTTTTCATTATATGAAAGAACGTCTACTGTACGTTATTTCAGAAGTATTTTCATTTTCCTCAGTTGCCGCTACCCTTTTATTTTTCTTGTGCGGGGATCCCTTGGGGTGCTCCCACCGGACGAGCGGTGAAATGTTTATGTCTCATTCGAACTAAAAACCGTCACCGTCTTGGGTATCAGTAGCTGGTGAACCAGGGCCTCAATTCTGCTATTTTATGTTCACGCCAAGCCACTGTCATACCACTGACACGCTATTGAGATGCCATCGAGTGGCCATTAGCACGGTATTAAATATCGGTAGTCTTCACTAACTAAGTGTCTTTACAGTGGCAATGGAATGGCAGTGGCTCATCAGTGGTGATATCAAAAAGATTGCCATATTTGGAAAAATAAATAAATCATTTCCTTATAATTTGAAAATGTATTACGTTTATTTAATTTTGGTCCATAAATTTGTTATGGATTTATCATATTTGTTGATACAAATGTATAAACTACAACGAAATAATACACCGTAATTAATAGAATTATCGTTGCTGTTTTTTTTGTTGTTTAGTTAGTGTAGACTACCGATATTTATACCGATGCCAATGGCCACTCGATGGCATCTCAATAGCGTGTCAGTGGTTTGACAGTGGCTTGGCGTGAACATAAAATAGCAGAATTGAGGCCCAGGTGTAACGTAGAATGGAAATCCCTAGTACCAATTGGTGCTACCCTATTTAATTTAATAAATGATATGTATATGTACAGAATCGTCGTCGTAGTCGCGCACTAACCACGCACCAAGATATATATATATAATATACCAGCATACCATTGCTATTTACTGTAGTAGGAATTGTTGCCAACCTTAATATCTTTCAAGGCGTTTTACTTAATAAAGAATGCGTGTTATATAAATTAGCTTCTTACAAAACTATTTTAGTTCTTCAAAGTGTCTGTAAAGTATTTATTTATTAACCCTGTTAAAGGACTTAGCCTCCTGTTAGCATAGTGACTAATAAATAATCTAATGAATATTAAATGGCATTCGGTAGGTGATGGCCATATGAATTTATGTAACATTAAAACAGTCTTCCAATTTTAGTTTTTTCTGTTCTGTTTTTTTGGTGACGTAAAAATATCATTTTTTACACTGTAAGCATCGTCATTGTTCATATTTATGTAATTAAAATAATATTGACATGAGTAAAAATAATACTTTGTTTACGTGAATACAAAATTTCAGTACAACTAAGGCAATGAATTAAATGTCAGTATGTGCCGTGTGCAGTATAAAAAAAAAGCAAATGTTTTAAGTTGATGGTTTAAGGTAATGTTTTTCGGACCGATACGGCCTACAAGCCTTAAAAAAATGAGTGTACTTCAAAGGCTGGCGTCCATCACCATCAACAGCCTTTAATAGTCCAATGCTGGACGTAGATCTCTCCTTAGAAAGGAGGTTTTGGCCTATTATACTACTCTTGTTTAAAGTTTTCCTTTTCTTAGCAACGCACTCGTTTTGTGAATGTGGTAGAATATTATTATTATTATTGTATAACTGGTCATAACTAGTTGTTGGATCGTCGCGAAGGCGGTCTATATTCGAGATGGTACCAATTACCTTTATTTAAATCGTCAATATATATATAATATTTTCGTATATATCTGGTTTCAATTTTTTTTAATATTGCCCATGTTTTTATTCACCTAAAATAATATTATCAGAGCACTACCACGAACGATATTTAATGTCTGTTTTTGATTACAGTGAGCTTATAGAGTTGTATAACCGAATAATATAAACGTACGTTGCGTATTTTAATTTCATCTGTAGTTAAAATCCTAAACTACCTATTGTCACTTTTGGCATAGGCTTGCCACGGTCGTGAGTTACAGGCGGCCGCCGTGTATGGAACTATAGGTCAGCGGAATGGGATGGTTTGTTTCTTGCTGGATGATCCCACCGTCGTCGCCGATTCTGTCACTGATGTAGTGCTTCAGGGCATTTAACTTTTCGTTCTTTCTACATTAATTCCCATCGGAGGCCATCCAAGCCCTGGTTTGACAGATCCTGCAAAACGGCTTCCCGCCGAAAGCGTGGAATGCTACCAAGCATGGCCAAATGCAGCGACGGTAGGCGATGTTAATACCAGCACGCTAAAAAACTGTATAACTTAGCCTCCAGGTCCCTTAAAGAGCTATTGCTATCTGTAGCCAGTCCCTTCCACCCCTGCAGATAGGAGATTTTTTTTGGTCTATGATGCCAAGGAGAAAGCCGATCTCCTAGGCAAACTCTTTGCATTCAACTCAACTTTGGATGATGGAGGAAACAAACCGCCGACCATACCGCGGTGCCAGAGCTATATGCCGGAAATCCGGTTCTCACAAAAATCAGTGCGTAAAGTACTCTTTTTCCTCGACATTCATAAGTCAAGTGGGCTCGAAGGAATCTCTTCTATCGTGTTAAGGACGTGTGCTCCGGGGTTTCACCTGTTATTACGCGCCTTTTCTGACTTTCCTACTCCCTAGGCGTCGTCCAGAACTCCTAGAAGGTAGTGTTTGTGCACCCGATCCCTAAAAAAGGTGACCGCTCTGACCCGTCCAACTACAGGCCTATAGCCATAACTCCTTTGTTCTCTAAGATTAAGGAATCCATAATCAATTGCCAGCTCCTCCGGTACTTACATGATCACCAGCTTCTCAACTTAGTTTGGATATAGCGAAAGCCTTCGATCGGGTCTGGCGTAAGGCGCTTTTCTCGAAGCTCCTTTCTTATGGACTGCCTGAGAAATTGTGTAGTTGGGTCACCAGTTTCCTTACGGACAGAAGCATTGAGGTCGTTGTTGACGGTGCATGCTCCGACTTGAAATTCGTAAATGCTGGTGTCTCACAATGCTGTGTGCTATCACCCACACTGTGTCTTCTGCATATCAATGACATGTTGCAAACTAGTAGCATCCATTGCTATGCAGATGATAGTGCTCTTTAACGTCAGCGAGAGTCGAAACAAACTTGTGTCTGAAATTTAACGCGGAAGTTTCAGATTGGGGCCGACTAAATCCACTTCAACCCAAAAAAGACACAGGTCTGTACGTTCACCGCCAAGAAGATACCATTTGTCGTATCACCTTGGTTTAAGAGCACCTCCCTAACTGCCTCAATCAGTATCGGAATCCTAGGCATCGACATATTGAGCGAAGTCCAGTTTTGGGGTCACTTAGTGGGTAAGGTCAAATTGGCCTCGAAGAAGCTCGGTGTGCTGAGCAGATTGAGGCAGTATTTCACTCCGGCTCACCGCCTTCAACTCTATAAGGCGCAAGTCTGGCCGCATTTGAAATACTGTTCTCATCTCTATGCAGGGGCGCCTCACTACCAGCTTCTCCCTCTGGACCGTATCCAACGAAGAGCGACTCGAATCGCCGATAGCCCAAACATCTCTGATCGGCTCGATCCCTTAGCGTTACGTAGAGATGTGGCTTTACTCAGCATTCTCTATCGCATATATCATTGAGAGTGCTCCGAGGAATAGTTCGGACTAATACCGGCCGCAACTTTAAGCCATTGTTCTACATTATGCGAACTGTTATTGTTGATAACTCACAAAATTGACAAATGTTTCTGTACAGGGTCGTCTGAACGAGTTATTGTGTGCCGTGCGTCTGCAGCGTAGCGCAAGCGCAGGAGCGCCTCACGAACGCTATCACCTTGACCCCGGTATGTTAATTATTACTCTACCTATATTTAAAACATGAAAATGCTAAATTCTAAATTTCTAGTTCGTATAATTAAGTTTAAACAAATACGGAAAAATGGTCTCTCAGTCGAACAGTTACGAACCGATGAGTTGTTTACTTTGTATAAATGCGTAGATAAAATAGTTTTGATGTCAAAGTTTAGCACGAGAGATTGAGGAGTTATATGCCTACTTGCATTTTATCCGACTGCGCAAGATAGATAAAACTTTGTTTTTCGAGTTTATGTATGAATATGGGTGTGTAGGTATAATGTTTTGTTTTTGACACCCTAGATAGATGCAAGTTATCATTTGAATCGATTTATTAGTTAAAGCGACATAGGTGTTCAAATGACCTCATCTCTGAGTTCAAGATGATCTCTTTGTAAAAAGTAGAGTTTACACAGCAGACTTTAAACATATACTTATAATACTATTGTAAAACATAAATTGTTTTACTAAATAAAACGATTTATGTTTGTAAGTACGCATGAGTACTAAAAGTACGCAATAATAAAAAAAAATAGTTGTCAAGTACTGTCCGCGCCTGCTATACATTTTCGAACATCTATCTTTATTATTTACGATCTTAGCCATCTCTATTTTATACTAAAATGCTTGTTTTTACAGTTATCAGTCGCTATCTATGTAACGCAGATACTTTTATAATTTTTTGAATAAAAAACCTTTGGATCAAAAACAACAAACGGGTAGTTGACACACCTCGTACCACACCAAAATAAAATTACAGTTAAAACATTTAGTCATATGTATAAGTGCAAAATATTACGTAAAATTATAAAGTGATCAGTGATGGCTACAGTATTATGTGCACTTAAACATCGATGATAGATGATTACTCGTTAATAGAAACTGTAACAAATTAGAGGTAGTCGCTCTTTTTCTCTCTTTTGACATATAATAATTATATGTATACGTACAAAATTACTTGCCCTCATAATCTGCTTTATCAAAGCAAAGACCAAACCGTTGGGGCTACAAACTTGAAATTTTGGCAGCTGATAATTTTTATGTTGCAAGCACCCACTAAGATAGGATGTTTGGAAATTACCAACCTCTAAGGGGATTAAATAAGGGATGGACGGTTATATCAAAGTTTGTCATTAGCTAGTGTCTAACAAAAGTAATCGTTAGTCTGTCTGTAAGAAAAATAAGGTTACAAGGAGTGCTTGTTTTACAGGTGCACAAGAAGACGTGAAGCAGTTCTTGTCGTTACAACAACGTGGTATGGCTCATCTTTTAGACACGGCTCGCAAGGATCTCGCCGCCCTCAATACCATTGCGGAAGGTATGGCTCGCCTTGTGCGAGCTTAGCGCTACGGAGTGCAAAAATATAAAAATATAAACTTTACTTGAGTAACGTTTAAAGCTGTTCTTAATAACAATTTGTGTTAAATAGAGATTCGAGGGTTTTGTTCATAATTCAAGGCAGGTAAGTAAAACAAGGATATCTCTACGAAGATTTCTAATGATAAAATGTAATAATTGTCTTATTGATATTTGTATACGAAGGAAATGTTATAACTTTTTTAATTCCATTACTTAAAAATAACATATATTAATTATTATTACTGTATCAAGCACGTTTACGAAGATGTAATAAATATACTGATTAAAGTTAATCACTTTTGTTATTATTAATATTTATTTAAGACCCAAGTCGACTCGTCTCTTAAAACCAGATAAATCTGGTTCGCCTAAATATTCCACTACATATTTGTTTTTTTCGTCCTATATTATTAACCTAATGCCCAAATAGGTCAGCTGTTATAATTAACCTTAAAATTTTGTATGTTTGTCTCTGACATCATAACTACTAAATGGATGATCCGATTCTATTATCTTTCTTCCTCCTTTTACCTATTTAGTCTCGGTCTAGGCCTAGAAAATACACCATCTTTGCGCTGTTCCTTCACTTATGATTCAACGTAAAGTAGTACTGTAAAATCCTTGAAGACGTAGAAATTATATGAGAATCTTTAAGAAGACAAAGTATGAAAAAACTTATTTCAACTTAGAGTGCTTTAAAATTGAGGATTGCTTCTGAGTTACGCTATCTTCTTTGCGGTTTTTATGCTCAGAGTTAAGATAGTACTCTGTGAACAAAGAAGTGAGGCCAGTTAGAACTACGCCTTGGCGTGTTCATACACAATTACACGCACACATGTACAACGAAACTAAACCTTGCCAGTCAAAACCTCATCAGAAATGTCAACAATATTTACAAGTAAACATTCCGAATTGTGTTGTCAAAGAGTGTAAAAATCAAACTACAAGAGATAGTAGAATGGAATCGCATTTCACACATAAGTAAGCATAGAAACCAATATTTTCAATAAAACTAACTAACGAAAACGAAAATAACAAAAAAAAAACTTAAAACCTTAGTGACGTAGTCGCATATCTCCGGTAAGCGGTATCGTCCGGATTTACATCTATGCCCCATTACGTCACCTGCGCATTTCTTTTTAATAAGTACGCAATATACGCATTACATTAAATGCTTACATAATACAAATGCATCATATTTTACAAAATTTTATGCATTTAGACTTTAGTATCTACGGAACTTACCTACATACCTAATTTATCTACTTTTCTAGATAAAATATGGTAAATACCTATTCTGTTTTTCTAGATATCATCTAATGCAATCCTCTGCTTTATTGTGAATGTCATTGTCTTGTCATAATTGATTAATGTGTAGCTTTTAAATATTAAATGAAAGCACTTACTTTATAGTTTATTCATTATCTTATCAGCAGTAAGTCAGTATGCAGATGTTGGTGGTACAGTATGTCTGAGTAGCGATAGTGTCTAAGTGAGTATGTGGATCGAGAAGACAGGTCAAATTTAAATCACGTCTCTTCTTGATGTTGCTGTCATAGTGGTCTCTTTAATCACAGGAAAAACTGATGGTTCTATTTACGTTAATAGGGGTCACCTGGTGGTAAGTATCTACCCCAAAAAACCGTGGGTTTGGGTTCCGGTACCCTTATCCACTGATCGAAAAGCAAACAAAATATTGCTCAACACTGGTTTTCTGTGAGGCCGTGTATCGCTTCAACCGAAGCATAGCTCTCGTACGGACAGATAGACCGCTATAGACGGATAGACATTCCTGTTTCCCCACCCGTCAGTCCCCCAGTCAGGCAGGCGGACGGCTATAAAAGAAATCGCCTAATTAAAATTGGGGTCGGCGCATATAATTAAACAAATAATTTAAGATTATGCCGCAACAAATAAATAAACTTATTTTTTGATGAAAAAACAGTATAATTTAAATATGAAGTAACGATTAAACAAAGATTCAACATAGAACGAGAAGTTAACTTAGAAATTGGAATTGTGAGACAGTTGGAGACCCACTACTGGGTTCTTAAAGAATTTCAAAGCCCTCCAAGAAGCTCTTGAAATTCTCGGACTTACTAGGCTTTACTTGGTTTTTTTAAATATAGTTTATATGAATAGTAACATTTTATACTCTTCAAGTACACTTCATCCTCTTTTATCGAAGATAGGTTGAATTACATTGTAACTACTGATCCTACATCGTGACATATTGTATAAAGTTCCCAACAACGTTAACCATTTGGCCGCATGATCGTCTAACTTTGTAGGAGGATTAATCCTTTGTGTCCTTGGGGGAATGCCTTTTCAAAGAGATAGATATTTTCTTTCGAATTTTTCTTTGGTGTAGAATCGCTTAAGGCGTCCTTTTTCCGCAATATTCAGTACATTGTCAATCCGATCATGCGCCGACCTAAACCAGTTTTCCACAAATTGTTCGTGGGCGATTGCTGAACTGGATCGGCATTGAAATGATCTAATATGTTGCTCGGTGGTCGAAAGAAACATTAAGAACAAATAATAATATCTGTCTGTCCAGTATGAAGCTTACGTCCACATTTAAGTATTGATAGTTTTTCCATAATATGTTCTGTCAGTGTCCTTTGCTATCACTTACCGTAAAAACCCCCAGGATCCAATAACCAGTAAACTTACAAAGATGTGGCAGTTACTGATCCGTTGCCAGGGCCTCGCCGGCTCGACCGGCGTGATATCATGGTCTCGCATAAAAACAGTGTCAAATAATTCTTTTACTACTTTTCATCCAGTCAGTGACTTTACCGTAGGCCCAACCCCTAACTCTCAATCACTCAAAGGTTGGCAGGTTGAGTTGCATTGATCCACAGACAGGCCTAGTCAGTTACTGTCAGGTGACATGTCTGCTTGCTTGCTCCCCCTAGAAATAGGATATTTACGTACCTAACGCAATGAAATGAACTGGATACTAAATGATATAATATTTTACAACAGTATTAATATAAATGCTCAGTAAGGTAAGCTGGTATTTTACTAAACTAGCCATTCGCTAAAGTCTTCCCACTTGAAAAATAGATTGTTTTTAGCTAAATGTCTCTGTAGTTTATATTATGTTCATTTCTTTATTACTAGTCAACTATTCTTGTTAAATATCCATGTGTTTTATCTTTAACTCAATGAGTTTTAGTTTGTCATCAGATAAGGAAGTAATCCGCCCAGCTCGTCTGCCATGTACCCCATGTTTACACGCCGATAAAGATGTGCTGAATATGATGAACAATACAAATATAGGCAAATATTTGTATGCTGTTTAAACTTGTACTTTGCTCAAGAATTGTATATGAAACGAAAATCATTGGGTGAAAAAATGATAAAATATAATAACAAAAAAATATATTTTATTTGTAAATAAATACTAACTTTTGGTACTTAAATCTAAAGGCAAGTCTGTACGTCTTATTAACTCTTCAATTGGTTTATAATCACGTCGCTTTGTACATATTAGGTTCAATGGCATCTCTTCTTCCATAGGAGTATAGATCCTTGAGCTTGCCTCTACATGACTGAGGGGAACGTCATCTAGTCGAGGTCGGTCTTCATAGGTTAATACTTTTTCACTAATACTGGGTGTCAAAGGCGGGTAGCTTATCGTAGTGGAGTAATAATTTCTATAAGCATGTTCGTACATTTGTGAATATTCAGTATAAGACATTTCATTTGTTGGTATTCTCACTGGGTACGAAGGTTCAAGTGATCGTATATAGGTAACTCGGTCATCGATCGGAGCGTAAGGTATTGACTTTGGGACGGAGGTTTCTGATAAGATAGGCGCGAATGTTTGTCTCGGCGATAGAGAGCTGACAGGTGGGTTGTACGGTATACTTGCGGGTACTGGAGAGGAAGGTTCTATGATTGTATATGATGAAGTATCTTTGGAAGGAGAATATGTGTCTTGGCTGTATTCATCTGATGATTCTCGTCGTGCTATTTGCTCTGTGCTGTAGTGTTTGTAAGTTTTGACGTGCTTTCTGAGGCTCGAAGGGTCCGTGTAACGTTTATTGCATCCTGGAACCTTGCAGCAGTAGGGCTTCTCGACTGCATGCGTTCTTGTGTGTTTAAATCTGTCGCTCGAATTTGAATATGCCTTACCGCACCCCTGTAGAAGAAGAAATAAAAGATTAAGTACTTAAATTGATCAACTGACGCAGAATTTGTTGTTGAATGTTATAATTTTTTTTTTAATTAAGATGAAAGTTATAATTATGTAGATAGATTATATTATTTACCTCATAAGGGCAGACGTATGGTTTCTCTCCAGAATGAGATCTGAAGTGAATTTTGAGGTTTTCGGCTCTGGAGAAACTTTTGTTGCACTGATTGCAGGTATGAGGCCGTTCATTTGTGTGCGTTCGGACATGTACTAACATTTTGTACCTATGAACAAAAAATATGTTATGATTAAATACTATAAAAAATATATTCAGTGTTAAAAATATGAGTATAAATCTGAATTAACATAATGGTGTATTTTCATGTTAACGCTTACCGTGCATTAAATCCTTTCTGTGGTCTACTGCAACCCTTCCAGGCGCAGTAGAAGAGTCCATCTGAATGGGCAAGCGCATGAGCGCGGGCGACGTGCGCGGACAGACGCGCCACACTCTCGAAACGCGCGTTGCAACCTCTCCAGCCGCATAAACCCTCCAAGTTGTCTAACGTCTCACTTGTGTTACGTTCGGGGGATGAACCGCACGAAGAATCATCGTCTTCCAACTGTAAACGATTAATTTTAGTTAATATAAAAACTAAACAAATACCGGTCAGCAGTCTGATGCATAAATCATAAAATACTAAATATAACATTATTATAATAATGCTATATTTAAATATATAACAACAAGTCGCACCTGAGGTGGTTGTGGTGGTATTACAACAGGTCTTGCAAAATATGGTGCGAATCTTTCTGCGGCCATCCATCTTTGAGCCCTACACCGTTCCCTAGGGATATCCGTCTTCCAAACCGGAAATACTAACATCGTGGCACTTCTCTCACTAAATGAACTATTTGGTCGTGACTGGTTGTTCTCACTGTGAAGTCGCTACGCACAATGATGGTGGGAGCTCGCGCCGCTTACTTTTAAAACGTCTACAACTGACAACGCGCCGATAAGAGGCCGAGTCCCCCGCGAATACTCTGCTTGCACACATTTTCGTCATCTCAATAGTAATATCAGCACGCGGTAGGCAACATTCGTCTTTAATCCCTTTACACGCATTTCAATGGATTTACTCAAGAAAAATAGAGAGCAATAGAGTATATATTTGCGTAACTGATCAGTTACATACTCGCGTCGTGTTGTGTATGTTGAAGCGTTATCAGAAGCCGCCTGCCGCGGCTACTGTCCAGTTATTACCAGTACGATATGCTCAGGTTCAATAGGTGACTGATATCGCGGTGTCGGTGTGAAGCGACCTCTTACTGGTTCTTATTGACGAGCTCATCGCTAATCGCCACCAAGACAGTAATTTCAAGAACAAAGCGTTTATGTTTCGTGGTAAATATCACGTATGCGTTACTGCTATTTGTGAGAATGACGACAAAATTACCAAAAAAAAGTACAGACTAAAGAAATTTTTACCTATTTCCTGTAGGGTAGAAAACATGTTTGTTCTAAAATGTATTGTTTAATCCAAATATTTAGCTCTTACTTTATAAAATGTACTTCCTTTTTACTTATACTTAAAAAAAATCAACAAATAAAGTCAACAAATCGCCTTGCATTCAAGGGAAAAGTGCGCGATCTTCTTCGGGGTGAATTGGCGAAATAGTTACAGCTCTAGTTCCCGACTGAGTTTTTTTTTTTTTTTTTTTTTTTTTTTAAAAAGACAACTCCCGCATTAGGAATAAATCCTGTGTCGCGGGGGACTTTACAAACATACAAGAAACGGACACAAAGAACACCCAGACTCAGAACAACAATTTGTGGATCACACAAAGTGTCATCCCATGTGGGGTTTGAACCCACAACACTCGGCGTAGTAGGAAGCGGCGTGGCGACCGCTTAAACCACTACGCCATCCGTGCAGTCATGAGTATTTATATATTTTATTAAATTTATGTAGGTTTATGTATGCATGTGTGTTTTTATATTGTGTATGTTTCTGGACCTAAATTATGCTAATATCATATTTTATTTTGCACCTACCGCATCATATTTCTACATCACCTGAAGGTTGACTGGGAGAGAATGCCTAATGGCATTAAGTCCGCCTTTGTACAATATGTGCATTAAGTTTAAAATAAATAAATAAAATATTGTACCGTGATCCCAATAATATTAGCAAATGTATTATTAGGTAATATTAATAAACTATTATAAAAATGTAAATTTCCCTATAGATAACTTACTTAATCGGCTGTGCCAAGTATCGGTTTGTGTAAATCTAACGGTTATAACTTATAAATACCATTAAAAAAGTATCACTAAATTTAATAACCGCCCACATCATGACGTAATATAATAAACTGATTCTCCATTCTGTAATTTTCTACATTTAGTTTTACTTACTACTTAGTTTTACTACTACGCTTTATTTTTTTCTTTAAAACTTGAATAGAACCTAACGGAAAGTATACTGTGCGAAATAAAATATTATTTTTCCAAATCAGTAGGTACATACTTAAATGACGGGAGTTCTGAGGTACCAAACATAAAGAAAATACAACCAAATTGTGGACCTCCTGCAATTTTTAAAGTTGGTAAAAATGAAGCTTGTTTATTAACAACAACAAAACTCAACTACACAGGGATACGATAAAAAGTACTGTTCCTGGTGGACAGGAAAAACAAGTTTTTGGCAAGCGGAGTCGCGGGCGAAGCTGCATTACATTGTTGTCACATGAAAACCTAAACCTACATAAAATATATGCCATTTAATCATATTTTGGTTATCAGTGTTATGATATGTCCGAATTGAACAAACTGACATCACATAAGCCCCCTACTGTTCCATACAAAAACCCGGGCATTCCGGCAATCAGATAAAATTACAACCAAAATGCCATTAAAGGTTAATTATCGTTACGATAATCATGCGTCATGATATGGATTTTTAAATATCTTTAGCCTTTTAAATATATGTATTTAAATATATATACATATATATTTTTTAAACTCTATAGTTAATAGCTCGTTTTCGATAGGTAGACTAAAAGGCCGTCCTGAAAATAATACTCCTAAATATATTTCTTAATTTTTTTTGATGTTGTAATTTAAGCGTGTTGTTATGCAGTATATTTATATATTTTAAAATAATTAATAAAAGAATTAGAAAGATTAGAAAAACTTTTTTTTTTTATAGTACAACCAGGTTTGTTTCTTGATAAAATCGCACTTGAATCAGTTGCGATAGTTTATACCTATCAAAAATGACAAGAAGAGTTTTAATATCCAATAATTATAACAATTACGTTAAACATTAAAAGAGTCAATTTCAGTTAATAAATTTTTCATTTTTTGTTCTACAAATATGAAAAATCGCTAGCAGAAGTTTGTGTTAGTAGGAAACCTAAATTAATTGTAAAAAAAAAATATTTTACGAGTATTTCTTTCGTGTATTTGTCTAAAAATTACCATGGATAATGTGTATAGGCAAAAAGCACAAATGTACCTACGATAAGTTCATTCATGATAGGGGTTTTATTTCATCACTAAGGATTAAGTCACTCATTTTAAATTTTAGAAAAAAACCTTTATACGCTTTTACTGAACCTATCATATCACGATGAATTAATAACTTTTAGTAATATTTATGTTGTTGTTTTAAAAGGAAAAAAAAAGGAGTGTATTACTCAAATTTCTTAAATGTCTTGAGTCTTGAGATATAACCTAGAGGGAACAAGAGCCCCAATATTGCAATATAGGCATCGAGAGAGATTGATAAAAGTCAGTCCCCTCTAACTCTCTCTAGCCTCGGCTATTACATATTCCTCAGCCAACCACAGACCTCGGTCTCGGTCTGAGGGGTTAATAAGTAGCCAATCGCATCATATAAAAATAGAGAGCTTAACAAGACAGAAGGTAATATCGGGCATCCATCTCTCTTGTTGCCTGTATCGCTTCCACTTACAGGCAGCGGTAGTCCGTGTTCTCTCTATGATTTTTCTAGTGCTATTATAATATTACCTGTTATATTGAGGGTACTTATTATTGCTTTTTACTTAGCTATGTTAAGTTTTATTGATATATTTGTAGAAAATAAAAAACCATAGAACATGACTTGCTTTTTAAAGTCAATGACATATTTATATCTTAAAACACTTTTTTTCTATTTATGATAAACCGTTTATTTTAATAGTAAACAACCACCTTGTATGTATATATGATTAGGTAATCCATACTATATTTTGTTTCACATGACAAATAGATAAAAGTAATCGAATGAATTAATTCTACTCTTAACTGTAAGATAATAAATAAGGGTTTTGACGCTAATCTTAATATGATTATGTTTACTATCGAAGACTAATATATAACATAGACAGGATATATTCCTTGTGCGGGAGTTACCTAAAAAATATTTTTTTTTTTTACTAAGAAACCAGATAAAATAGCGGAACAACCCAATATGACCAAGGTACCAACTTTAAAATAAACCGGCTAAAAATCTACTTATTGATTGGTACAAACCGGCCAAGTGCGTGTCGGGCTACGCGTAGTGTAAGGTTCTGTAGTTGCATGTTGTAAGTGCCGACTTATAAATTGCATTCACAGCTGAAATGTCTGAAAACCTTTAAAAAAAAGAAAAAAAACAACCTTACAATTTTATGATTTTACAAATTCAGCAATTTTATCCAATCAATTTTCAATTTGAATGTGTACAAATTACAGCTACAGCCAAACCACAGACGGCCAGACAGACAGACAGACAGATGGACATGGCAAAACCATGAGAGTTCCTAGTAGGCTATGGAACTCTAACAACGATAAATTATGCTCTAAAGGAAATTTCTATTTCATTTTGTATTTTAATCCTCATGGAAATCCTGTTCTGATGAACTGTTATCTTCACTTGGGATCCAAATTTCTACGTTTAAACTCTAAAGCGTGTGAATGAATGTTTCACTTGGCTTGCGTGAATTTGTCGTCGATCCGGGCTAGTGTCGGTTTTTATCACAGATCAAAAGAAGCTTGCGGCAAGCGCTTGCCACGTGTTTACATGTTGGAGCGTGTTTAGTGTCGCTGTTTAAATTTTGTGTCAAGCCAAATGCAATACCCGAAACAACTTCAACGTCCACGTCTGCGATGTTTGTCTGGCCGGAACACAATCGCAGGTATCCAAGCGTTTGTAAAGGCTTTTAGCTTGTGGACGTTTGCCAAGCCTCGGAAAGCGTGTAAAAGAACCATAACAGTGACTTGTTTATCTCGTATCCAGGGATTATAGCAGGAGGCGACGCAGACACCGCGTTTTTGTATTGGTTCGCCTTGCGGGGAAATTAAGGATGTGGAACATGACACATTTGGTATCATAAGGATTACATAACTGGCGTGAATTTAAAACCTAAAAGCCGTAATTTTGCAGACGCTTGCCTAGAAATGGCTAATCTTTGAGTACCTAGAGATTTGCGCGTCTAGCACGATCATAACACGACTTTTGTATCTAAATAAAACCTTTTATTATAAGTGACTGATATTAGTGCAAAAACTTCCGTGTGCAAAATCAGAATTCAATTTCAATACCTAATCACCTAATGAGTGATTCTACGGTCTTTTCCAACCTCATTCATTGTTATAAATAAAAATATGTTAAAATTTAACTTATCTCTTAAAGTAAATGATAAGAAATGCTTGTCAATATGTCACTAAGTGAAATAACTTAGTATTTTAGAATACTTACCAACCACGAGAACAATGAATGATAAAACTTAGGGTGCTTCTACACGGTGCAAGTAGCTGGAGCGCGCAAAGATGCGGGTTACTGCGTCAGTAGCATACACGAGTTACTTGCAGGTTTGGTTGATATAATGTGCGCAAGT